TTGCACGGTGCGAAAAGCAAGAAATTGCACAGTGCAAAGTGAACTTTCGTTTTCGTGGAGTGCATGTCGCCGATTTCCGTCCGGCGACTTTCCGGAAGGACTAGTAGTCGGGACAAAAAGTCCTGATAATTTTGCACCGTGCGGATTTTGCGCGGTTTTTGTCGCACTCTGAAAAAACGATTTGTCGCTCCGAAAAATGGGAATCGCGCGCGACAATAAGGCAAAAACAAACAAAATGCACTGTGCAAATGCACTTTTCGGGTCAAATGCACCGTGCAAAACACTTTTTTTCGCGATTTTCGCAGCGACGACCAAAAACGTTCAAATCCGCACGGTGCAAAATTATCAGGACTTTTTGTCCCGACTATTACGCTTTTTCAAAAGTGCAGACACATTTTGTCGTGGGCCGCACCGTGCACAAAACCCCTTTTTGCGGGGTGCATTTGACCTTTTGCACTGTGCAACCGGATACTAGTCGCGGAAAAAAGTCCTTAGAATTTTCTGCGACTCTGCACTGTGCACGAACCCGAAAAGTGCTTTTGCACTGTGCAATTTTCTTGTTTTTGCCTTATTGTCGCGCGCGATTCCCGCGACAAATCAACATTTCGAGGTGCGACGAGATTTGGGGGCCGCGAAAAATTCTAAGGACTTTTTTCCGCGACTAGTATCGCTGACATATCGCTGCGACGCAAGCTTTTCTCAGCTGAGTCGCCGCGAATTTTGGGCGTGCGAAAAGAAATTGCACAGTGCAAAATGTTTCGAAAAGGATCGCATCGCGCAACATGCACGGTGCGGTTGCAAAAAAGGCCGGAAAATGTGTCTGCACTTTTGAAAAAGCGTAATAGTATCGGTCTGTCGGGAAAATAACGGCGGATCGTCGCGCCTCGGAATCGCTCATCATCGCTTTGCGACTTCAAGCCGCGACTTGGGATTTGATGCGCGATAGCGGCGAGGCGAGACATTTTGCTGCGACGATCCGCCGTTATTTTTCCGACAGACTGATAGAATGAAGCCCGGAGCTGGCTGTGACGTTCGTTTGCAAGCCGCCGAATTTTTTCACGGGAATTGCGGGAAAAAGCTGATCTATTACGCTTTTTCAAAAGTGCAGACACATTTTGTCGTGGGCCGCACCGTGCACAAAACCCCTTTTTGCGGGGTGCATTTGACCTTTGCACTGTGCAACCGGATATCGCTGACATATCGCTGCGACGCAAGCTTTTCTCAGCTGAGTCGCCGCGAATTTTGGGCGTGCGAAAAGAAATTGCACAGTGCAAAATGTTTCGAAAAGGATCGCATCGCGCAACATGCACGGTGCGGTTGCAAAAAAGGCCGGAAAATGTGTCTGCACTTTTGAAAAAGCGTAATAGTCGAACAAGCGGAACGCTTCCACGAACAACGAAAAAATTCTCCGGCTTGCAAACACCCCCCAAAACCTAACATGCAGCAGGGAAGCCACAAGCAGCATGGCTGTGTTCACTGCCGAATTCCTGGTGATGAATTTGCCACTTCTGGCATCGATACATTATTCAAACGACACAAGCCGACATAAATGGCGCTTATACGGCCAAAAAACAGACAAACAAACAACCCACACTAATCCCACTGTCCTTCCTGGGGCTATTCTCACCTCCTGACCTATTGCATCAATCTCCTAGGCAAAACTGCTCAAAGTCCCCGGGGATATGAGTAATTTGGTTGATAGTCCCGCAATCTGTATGCCTAAATTCACCCTTTCCCCAGCCAATAACTAAAGGAATTCAGTGTACCCCGCACTCTCAGAGTAAACCGTCAATAGTAAGCTATACAGGGTGGGCCACTAAAACCTTCCGTCCTCTTTTTTTAGATTTCTCCGCGGAGACTCCGCCGATTTTCATGAAATTTAGATTTTTCTGGAGCTGAGATTCGCCATTTTCAAACGATTGAATTTCAGGAAAAAATATTCTGAATTGACTTTGCTATGCCTTCCCGAAGTTTTTGAAGATTATTTTCGAGCCGAAACCGCTAAAACTTAGAAAATTTTTGGAATGATTTGGAAAAATTGGTCAATTTTTCGGGTTTTAGGGTGAAATCTTCTGCGCTTTACCTCAATTAGTGTTAAAATATTGTTGTAAAAAACTAATTTATTTAATTATTAATATTTCTATCTGAGTTCGACCTCTTGCAGCACAAACTTGCGGGGGCTTTGAAAGTTAAAAAAAGGCTCGAATTGCATATCATGAACATGGTTTAACTTCAATCAAGCCTGTCTCCAACCCTCCATAAGCCAATCCCGGGCTTGTAGCCTAAATGTGGACTTTTTTAACCTTGTTGAAAAAAAAATTTTTTTTCTGCGTTCATACCCTAACGGTAATACAGACAACACTCTTTTTGCTTTTAACTTGCATTAAACAAGTTTAGAGAAAGCGTGCGGAACTTTTCACCCCACGATTTTACCAAAAAAAAGTCAGAAATTTTCCAAGTCCGAGAAAGGCAATTGAAAATCATTCCAAAAATTTTCTAAGTTTTAGCGGTTTCGGCTCGAAAATAATTTTCAAAAACTTTGGGAAGGCATAGTAGCGTAAATTCAGAATATTTCTTCCTGAAATTCAATCGGTTGAAAACGGCGCATCTCAGCTCCAGAAAAATCTAAATTTCATGAAAATCGGCGGAGTCTCTGCGGAGAAATCTAAAAAAAGAGGACGGAAGGTTTTAGTGGCCCACCCTGTATAAGTAACATGCTTTCTACGGGCCCAGAAATAAAAATTCATCGTAAATGGCTCAAAAATGTCATCACTCGCCCCAATTCCGAATACCTACATTACCCACTCCTTTCGCACATTTCCCCTTCCCCTTTCAAAGCAAATAAAATAAAGTAAAAAGCAACAACAAGTATGTAGATCAAATTAAAATTGTAGATTCTTCTTCTTCTGGTCTGGAAACTTGCCTGGACAGGTTGTGATTAGAATAGTGGGGCCTGAGGAAATCTGAAATACCAATGAATTAGGAGGCTAGAAAGTTGAAAAATAAGGTCAATAACCTCATGAGCAACACAGAAATATCGAAAAAATTGTCATCATATCGATTAAAATCGCCCAAAAATTGCTGAAGACCTCTCTTAAAGCATTTCTAGATGTACTTTAGCCGCCTTATTTAATCTGAGAGATCAAAAAATCAAACTTTCTGACGTCGTGTGTAATATAAATGGGTAAAAATTTACTTGTCATTATCACAAAATTTAAAACCAAAATTATCTGATATACCCCTATGATCTTCCTACGAAATTTAAAACAAGTTTACTAACCCACAAACTCAACTTAACCTTTGATTTTCTTGCACTGTGCAGCCTAAACGACGACCACTTTCTTCTTGATATCCACACCCAAATTTCTTCCCTCTTCGATGCCTTGTCGGTTACATGGAAACTTTGATGATCAACCTGGAAACAAGTTATTACTAACGGGAAAAATTTGAAAGAGAGATTGGACTCAACCTTCTGAGTAATATAAAACTCCTAAGATACTCTCAAAACCCGGTCCATTATCACTAAGCCAGATACTGCATGGGGCAGAAGGTGCGTTTTATTAAATTGTACCCTCTAACACGATTAAACATTGTATTACATCGGTCATATGACCGGATTTGCCCGTAGGACGTTTTTTTGTCCCCAATATTTTATTTTTGAAAGTTCTTAAACCAGCTAACTAATGAATTGAAATCACAGCCAAATTTATTAGCTAACCAAAAACCTGGATTGGTTTCTAAATGTTTAAAATCTCCAGTCAAGGGACTTTTTAAACTTCGTATAACCTTAACTCCATATCAGAACTGGAAGAAAACTCCCTTTATTACCTCTAGATCAATCTAGGTCCCCCTTTATTAAAGACACTTCACTTACCTTCAAGCTTAAATGCACCATTCACCCGCAAAGAAGCTGATCTTTTGCATGGATTCCAGGGCTCGGCAGGTTGGCTTGTCTTCGTTTACGGCCAATCTGAAAGAAAAATGTATTGGCTTTTTACAAAATCAAACTTTTTTCGCTTAAAATGCTAATACGTTTCTATATCCTGATTGCCCAATTTACCACTTCCAACTGACCTACTTTTTTCGCTTCTTCCATGGTGCGGACCTCCATAATTGTATTGATTTCTGCATCTTCTCCAAAGCTCCAAGGAACGGATTTTTGAAGTTTCCCATGAAAAAAGAATATTAAAATAGAATGGGCAGTATCTGGACTTGTTACGATAAATGAAAGCTTAAAATTGGGTAAAGAAACTTACTTTAATCACCACAGACTTGCAGTCTATGATGATTGGGTGAAGGGGAGGGAATGGAAGGAGGGTGGCGGAGCTTCTCTTCTCATTTTTTTTCTTTTTTTTTATTTTTTTATTTTTTTTTCATTTTTATATTTTTTTATTTTTTTTATTTTTTTCTTTTTTATATTTTTTTTTTTTTTTTTTTACTTTTTATCCGTTTGAATTTGGTTTCCTTAGCTCTGGGGATCTCTGAAACTAAAAAAATAAATGCAAAAAACCTCGAAAAAGAAGTGATAATACTTCTACAAAGTCAAATTCTTTCAAATGCTAAAAACAACACGATAACTTACATTCCATAATACGATGTTTCGATTTTACGGAGACATGATTGCCGTCCTGCTCCGAATGATGTTCCTGAGGATGGTGTGGTCGTGCTTTGAGCAGGTTGCCAATATTCAAACGTTGAATTGTAGTTTTCTGAAAACAAAAGATGGATTACATAATCTTAAACTAGAGTGAATTCGAAACAAGTACGAAGCGACAACTTACACGATAAAAATGAGGGAAAATAGGTGGAAAATCGAGGGATCGATTCATACGAGGTAATTAGCAAAAAATGAAATGTTCTTTTTCCATTAAAAAAAATTTTTTCTTTTTTTATAATTTTTTTCTTTTTTTTCTTTTTTATATTTTTTTTTATTTTTTTCTTTTTTATATTTTTTTTATTTTTTTCTACTTTTTATCCGTTTGGATTTGGTTTCCTTAGCTCTAGGGATCTCTGAAAAATAAAAAAAATTAATGGGATTTCTGAAAACAAAAGATGAATTACATAATCTTAAACTAAAGTGAATTCAAAAACAAGTACGAAGCGACAACTTGAAAATAACTCATATTATATTACTTTAGATTGCTTTTTGTTTTTTTCTGTTTTAGAGCAGCTTAGAAAAGATTTTTTTTCGTTGCACGGTGCGGATGAGCTCGAAAAATTGCTGCACAGCTGTGCACAATGCAAAACCCCCTCAAAACAAGTCGTAAGCATTGAGAATTCCAAAAAAATCGAAGACTCTTACCCATCAAGAGCGCATCGTTGTGTCATCACAAATTCGCAGGATCCCGAGTCCAATTTGAAAGTCTCTCCATCAAATGACGTCATCAATCCGCTTTTGGTCAGTCGACGGCCTGGTTCTCGGGGTTTTCGAACAATTGGGACCGAATCTTCACGTATTTTACAAATCGGACAGCATTTGTCCTTGGGGTTTTCGGTGCGTTCTTGACATTGAAGAGCCATGCAAGTCTTGGTATGACAGGAAATCTCGCCATTGTGACATTTGCAAATTGAACAGGGTTCCGGATTCCAATTTATCCGATTCCTGAAGAGATTTGAGAAAAGAGTTTTTGAAAAAAGGATATGTTCCTGCATAACGCGGTCTCAGATTTTAGAATTTCATCAATAAAATCTAGTCTTAGCATTACCAAAATTTCTAAAAATGAGATTTCTTGAGGCTAAAAATGTCATGTTTTGAATAATTAAGAATTAATGATTCCCAGAGTGATTAGGCCTCTCATTATAGCTTGCAAATTCATTTCAGGTCGCTGAATTTAGCTTTCAGTTCCTCGTGGAATAAAAATCCCCAAATATTTTTTACTATATCAACAGCAATAATTTATTTAGATAACAAAAAAAAAATAATAATAAATAAACGAAAAATACAACATACAACGAGATCATTGATGACCACCGGGATATGGGCCCGGTGGACCTCCTGGATATGGATAATATCCAGGATATCCATATGGCGGAGTCATATGAGGTGCATAACCCGCCGGGTACATACCATATGTCGGTGGAGGGGCAGGCCACTGAGGCTGAGCAAATTGATGAAATGGGGGAATTTGATATGGCAAAATACTGGGGCCCATTTGAGATGGGCCTGGTTGCAAAGCCGGTTGGACAACGCGAAGACTTGCGGAATAATTTTCGAATGGCCGGGAGTATCCAAAGCTCCGATTAAATTCTCTGTCTTGCTCTGGTGGCTAAAAAAGGACACTTTTGATTACAAAATGACAAAAAATTTTTTAAAACTTCAAGATGTTTAGGTCGAAGAAATTTTCAATTTCAAATTTTCAGACTCCATTGTAAATGCGGTCTACAATTCTTCCACCAAGAATTTTCTGCAAGCTGAATTTAAGAAAACGGCCAAAAAACGTTTTTTGGTACCACCCTCCTCATTCTCCGTGCTCTCTAAAAAAAAAATCGCTAAATATTTATCTCGGCTACGCCTACAAATCACGAGCAAAAAAGTATGAACTAATCAACGACCTATTAAGCTTGTAAAATCTGGAAGAAATCAAAAAAAAAAAACGAAAAAAAAATTAAATCACATACTCCAACTTCCTGAAAGCCTTGATTCCAAACTCTATGCGCCGACTGTGCTTGCTGAAGTTCCCCATAATTCCGTTGGAAGTCCCTTTGGAAGGTGGGATTGAATACACTGGGCTCGCTAACCGTCTCTTCTAGAATTAAATCCTCTTCATCATCTGAGGCTTCCGTCTTCATTTTTGTTACTTCAATTGTTCTCTCATCGACTTCTGCTGAGGTCGACGGCTGTGGGACAAACTCGGTTCTGACCTCTGAGCATGCGCGCTTGGCCTAAAAAAACTGAAATAGAAAAATGAAAGCCCAAATTTTTCGAAGAAACTCGAAGCATACATGGAATCCAACTTTCCAAGAAGGTATTTCCCCCAAAACCTCACAAAATAACAGACTGAAATTTGGCTTGCGACATTTCCAGAACTTGGACACTTCCTGAATGGCGGCATAGTGACTGACACTTCCGGAACCGGGGAAAAATCAAAGATAAGGCTTAGACCTATGATCTCAACAATCTGAATGGATTGATCGTTATTAACTTCGGAAATTTTTTATTTTTTTCTGGCTGTTACTTTTTTTTCAAGTGTAAAAAATTAATTTTTTCACAAGGAAAGTACTTCTATGGGGTGTGGAGTTACAGGTTGAGATATATATCAAAAAATTCGCAAAAATTTTCTGATTCAGAATATATAAAAATTAGCTGCCTAATTTTGGTTTATCAACGAGTTTTATCAATAAATGTATTTCTCGAGGAAAAAAACTCCGGCAACAAAAGCGCGCTCGGTCTCTTCCTTCGGAAGAGAGCGGTGTGGCCGAGTGGTTAGAGCGGTAGACTGAGAATCCAACGGGAAAGGCTGCCCCGTGGGTTCGAATCCTTTTGCCACAGAGCCCATTTTTTTACATTGGAACTACTATTAAGGTGTAGTTGTAATCCAATTTGATATTTTAAGGCTTGTCAAAGCCTCAGAATTTATTTTAGCACAAAAAAAATTTTTTTTATTGGTAAAAACACGGTCAAAAAGACACTTGCATGGTGTCGCGAGAAAACTTCTGAGGACAAAAACATGTCATCAGACTAAAATTAGGCAGCTAATTTTTATATATTCTGAATCAGAAAATTTTTGCGAATTTTTTGATATATATCTCGACCTGTAACTCCACACCCCGTAGAAGTACTTTCCTTGTCAAATTTTTCTAAAATACTCGATTTAGGGGTTTCCGAGGTTGTTGATTTCGAAAATCATGTTCATTTTTGGTCGTGAGCTTTTTGACGACCTGACCTAAACGAAGTGTCTTGACCGTCATAGTCAAGCATCGAGACCATTTTCTGCAAATTTCAGGCAAAACTTCTTGGCCTCAGTCACGACCTAGGTCGCGAGCTAGTAAAGTGCAGAAAATTTGAACCTGATTTTTGAAATCAGCACCCTCGAAAACCCCTATATCGAGTATTTTTAGAAAAATTTCAAAAAAATTACTTTTTAACACTACTACTTTGAAAAAAAGTAACAGCCAGAAAAAAATAAAGAATTTCCGAAGTTAATAACGATCAATCCATTCAGATGGTTGAGATCGCAGGTCTAAGCCTTATCTTTGATTTTTCCCCGGACGCGCTCTCAGGCTCTCTTCAAAAAATTTAAAAACACCTCAAATCTCCCAAAGAACTCACCGGGATTGGATTTTCTTCAATAACATGCGGATCCACTGGCTCCAGGGGTCTTTTCCGGCTCCCTTGTGTATTTCCGCTCCCGAATCCATGATTTTCCTCAATTCTGACGTCATTTTGCCGCTCAATAACTTCCGGTTGATAACACAAATCGAGGGGTTCTTCTTGGACATTCTCAGGAACACTCGGGCCACCTTCCGCCATCGAATCGAAGACAAAGGGCCTTTCAGTTGCGTTGAACTCGTCTTCCCACTCCACAACACCATCTTCATAAACCCGGACGATTTGTTCCGGTTCAGACTTTACGCTCACTTCCTCCACTTTTGCTAAAAAATAGGCTTTAATCAATGCTTGTTTTATCTTTTCTTACAACGAAAGTACTTCTATGGGGTATGGGTTACAGGTCGAGTCATATATCAAAATTACCGCAAAATTTTTCTGATTCAGAATATGTAAAAGTAAGCTGCCTAATTTTGGTTTGTAAGGGTGAAAAATCCTCAGAACTTTTCTCGCAACACCACGTAAATGCCTTTTTGACAAAGTTTTTGCCAAATCAAAAGCTTTGTTTTGAGCAAAAGTAAAGCCTGGTATCTTGACAAGCCTTACAATATCAAATTTGATTATTGCCACACCTTCATTAGTAGTTCCAATATAAAAAGGGAGAATTTGTATGGTGTTGCGAGGAAAGTCCTGAGGCTTTTTTTCACCCTTACAAACCGAAATTAGGCAGCTAACTTTTACATATTCTGAATCAGAAAAATTTTACGATTTTTTCATATATTACTCGACCTGTAACTCCATACCTCATAGAAGTACTTTCCTCGTGAAAAACTCCAAACATACGCGGAATCGCACCCTCCTGGACGCTGATTTCCAAATTCTCAGTTTGGCCAACTTCTCCGTCCTTTTCCGTTGCTCCCACCTCTTCCACTGCTTGGTCATCAGCCCCACTCATTTTCCCGTGCATTTCCTCCAGTTCTTTTCTAATTTTCCCCATAATTTCTTCTTCTTCTCCAATGTTCTTCACAATTTCTTCGACAAGATTTTCGTCTTCTCCTTGGTTCATCTGATCCCTTTGATCATCTTCTTGCTCCAAAAACTCCTCATTTTCCGTTTGATCATGGTCCAAATCGCATTCAACTTGTTCATTCAACATCTTCTCTTCCTTTTTTCTCAGCAATTCTGACAAATCCGGAGCCATCTCTTCTCCTTGCTCGACATTGTTGTTCGGATCCTCATGTTCTTCGCCAAACTCGCTGTCAACCTCATTTTCTTCGCCCATTCGGTGTTGCTCATCTTCCATATGATCAATGCCTTCCTCTTCGTGTTCCATGTGATCCAGATCTTCATCTCCATTCAAAACTTTCGGATCACGTCCATCTCCCATTGCGTTCCTTTCATCTCCAACCAGCGACAATGCCGACTCCACTACATCCACAGACGTTCTTCTACCAGCGCTCGTTCCTTCTCCAACTTGGCACAAATCCTCATCCAATCTGTCCAAAAAAGAGGGGTTGAAGGCACAATTCTCGTCAATTTGAAGAACCCCGCAATCATTCAAGATATTGTCAATACTTTCGGAGGTGTTTCCACCCGATTCGGCCGAATTCAAGGCTGAAACAAAACAGAAATTATAACCCATGAAAAAAATTTCAAAATTTTTGACCAAACACATTCCAAAAAAGCTGCAAAACGAAAGGAAATGATCAACAAAGACGAAAAAATCAAAAAAAAAGTATTACCTTCAGAGCGGTCTTGATGAACCAGCGTGTCTTCACAAGAATCACCCCCCACAATCTCAGCATTTTCTTCATCTTGCTCATGTGTAACATCAGGACAGAATCTACGAGAAATGAGGGTCACTTCCTCCATCATCTCTTTCATTTCCTTCGGGATCGACCTGGAGCCAGAATCAATAATGTGCGTGTAGATGGCAGTCAATTTCGTTTGAATTTTTTGAAGGATTTGCTCGGATCGTGACAACGTTTCTCTCGATTCATTGGAATTTCTGCCGGATCTTCTGCGATGGGCTTCTGTCAAGCTCCCATCCAAAAGACTGTTCTCCAAATAGGTCCGGATTGCGCCAAGCCCGGTGTCGCAGAAGCTTTCCGTTGGCTCCCACGAGTCATCAATTGGTCCGCAGCCCTCCCATCGCACCAAATACTCCACCTTTTTGCCGTGAATTCGATGGGTTAGAACCTTCTCAACTAAATAGAGACCATCGGGCGTAGGGGAGACGTTTCCCTTGTTCTTCCAATCGGGAGGAAACTAAAAATTAATCGATTTAATATTCTCCTTGATCAGGACATTAACGACAAAATTGGTGTACGGCTCTCACAAAACCCCTAAACCCATTCCAAAAGCGAAACCGCAATGCAACATACCATCTTGGGGAATCTCAGTCGGACATCTTGATGATTTTCGGCCGACTTTGTGATTAAGTTGTGAATATTCACAATCATAAATCGACGGCAAGCAGGAGACATCATGTGCGATAAAATCTCTTCTTCACTCTCCAGTGAGTGCAACCGTTTGCAACATGGTTGTGGAGCTCGTTGAATTGCCCTCAACTCGTCCAACAAACAAAACTTCTTGATTCTGAAAAATTTGCCATGAATAATATAATTTCTTGCATAAAAATATAGTTGTATAACCAAGATTTTCAAATAAAAATTGACCCTATTCTCACCGAGATCCGATGAACCGACGCGGTGGTGTACTGTCGAGGGAAACTTGCAAGTTGCCATTGTCGTCGCCATTGCACAGGCTCTCGGCGATGGGAGGCGAACGTTCCGGCGGATTATTGAGATCCACTTTGTCCAGATCCTATAATTTTACATGATAATTGCGCAATAACGAATAAATTTATATTCTCCATGTCAAAAGTCGTTGAGAAAGCTATTCAAAATAATCAAACTCTCCCTTCATGGGAAGCCTTAGATTATTCTATCGACGGGAAAAACGAGAATATTCAAAAATGCGTAAAGTTACCTAAAACAGCAAGCAAAACAATAACAACTTACATAACCAATCCGGACCGCATCCTTTTTTAACGCTCGGCAATCTTTTGGGTGCTTTGTTTTTAAATGATCCCACATGCTGAGGTTAGTTTCCATCTTCTCAGACTTTTTACGGCAAAAATACAAGGTGCATTTACCATCCTTGAATTTGCTTTGGATATTACGTATAATATCCTCCAGGCTAAAAGAATATAAAAAAAATTAAAGGCCAACCCTACCTCGCCATATATTTGATACGATGTTACACCTTCCAAATAAAAAAATTTTGCACCCTTTCACAAATTCAGCGAAATCGGCCGCCTTTTCCGACTTGGCGAGTTGCGCCCAGCTCGCCCCGACCAAATTATATGATAAAAATATAAAAATCGCCGCAAACTGAATAGTTTGAAAAAATGAAATGAAATATCAGTCTGTCGGGAAAATAACGGCGGATCGTCGCGCCTTGGAATCGCCCATCATCGCTCTGCGACTGATAGCCGCGGCTGGGGATTTGGTGCGCGACAGCGGCGAGACATTTTGCTGCGACAACCCGCCGTTATTTTCCCGACAGACTGATAAAAGGATGTAAACGAGAATAGATTGGTCCGATCTTCCAGTTCGACGATGAATCGGCCGATTTTGACCATTTTTTGTTGATTTTTCCGTCGTAAGGCGCGAGGAAAACGAAACCACCGTGCAAGCAACGACCCCAGCGGCCCACAGCACGGCTTCCACCACCGTAACTACGACTTCGCCGACAACTACCACAACTTTCACCACATCTTCTACTCCAACGGAAACTACAACACGAGCGCAAAAACTCCGGGAGAAGTCGGTAAGTTTCAATGGCGATCGAACTGGGGGTTTCCTACTGATTTTCCAAGTACTTCGATGCTGAACATCTTGTAATAAAGTTTTCTTCACAACCGAGATCGTACTGTCTGATACTATATAGTACGAAGTGAAAATATGGCTTTTGACGTTAATGGTGTTGTTTTGATGCTTAGTACTCTTCAGAAACACGTTTTAAAGACTTGGTGCTATATAGTACTATCTGATACTATGTAGTACGAGGTGTAAAGTTGGCCTTTGGGCGTTCGTGGTGTTGTTCTGGTGCTTAGTACGCCTATTTTTACTTCGTACTACATAGTATCAGACAGTACTATATAGCACCAAGTCTTTAAAACGTGTTTTTGAAGAGTACTAAGCATCAAAACAACACCATTAACGTCAAAAGCCATATTTTCACTTCGTACTATATAGTATCAGACAGTACTATGTAGTACTAGAGGAAAAATGAACATCATTTTCGAAATCAGCACCCTCGAAAACCCCTAAAGCAAGTTTTTCCCGAAGAGAATCAAAGAATTTTCATCCCGGGGTCGCTTTACCCCATTTTGGGTCGCAATCGAGCGGGGTCGCAATCGAAGGATTCCAATTTGGGGGCGCGACGTCCAAACCCCGAACTTTCGCACGGTGCAAAATGTGTCAGGACTTTATGTCGCGACTAGTATGAAAAATCGAAATTCCCAAGATTTCGGATTTTTGGAGCAAAATTTCCATAGCTTGACTTGAAAGTCGACTTATTCGACCAAACAATCGATTAGGAAGTTGGGCCCATAAGTTGGTCATTTTGAACTCTTTACTATGCTGTTTGGTCGAGTTTCCGTTTTGATGTTTACGGTGAGTTCATTTCCGATTTTTCAGTTGATTTATTCTTCATTTTCGGTGCGCCATCGTTCAAGTCAGATGCGATCTAGCTTGGTCCAAAGATTACCCATTGCCATATCGACTCAACTTCACGGACAAGCGGCGCTTTGAGATTGGTAAGGGATCCTGTGTGTGTAGAGAGATGGTATTGAAACAGTCAAAGCGGGTTTGGAAAAGAAATAAAATTGGGCGAGCAAGGAAGCCGTGTGGATCTTAAAAATCAATTTTTTGTATTGCGAGCTATTATTTTGCATTGCGTCCCGACTTTTTTGGGTCAACACAAAATTGATCGGTACGTGCCGTAGGGCAGGTGGATGCCCAAAAAAATGGTAGTAGGAAGTGCCTACGAGGCCTGGCAAAGCCATTAGATGGTTGGCGGAGGCTCGGCGCACACTTGGCGGAGACTTGCTTTATGTCCTCTTTTTCTAACCTTAGCTATTACTAACAGTAGTTTTCTTTACCCTGAGTTTTTTGTAACATGTAAGAGACCAAAATTTGCGAGGAAAAACGAAGATCCGTAACTTTTATCTAGATATTATTGATGTGAGTACGTGTAAAATACCTCAAAATAGGTGATATGCTATCCTCCCGATCAGTCTTGTTATTTCTACTAAATAAGCCTTCTCCTGGCCTCCCCCATGCGTACAACGACAACCGACGCGATCCATAGTATCGTTGACCCGAACTGTCACTGACCCGAAATGTCGTAGCGCCATGTTATTCTAGAAATTGATCTTTTTGCTGACTAACCCTCCCTAAACTCCTTTTTCCAGGCTGCATGGTCGTAATCTATGTTCGACTGCAAGAGGGCACCATGATTAATTTGATCGATGAGAACGGTGACGTAAACTTTCACGTCGTCGTTCACTGGTGGTCGATCATTTTGAATTCGAGGTTCCGCGGCGCCTGGGGTCAGCAGGTCGTTTTCTGCGAGGAAGTAGTCGTCCACCCGGACTGCGTAAACCACGGCGATGAATTTAAAAAATCGCCAAATTTTACGGTGGTAGAAATAACTCAAACACTTTTATTTGGTGTACAGGATGAGCCAAAAAACAGGCCCCCGGATCAAGTGGGGGGCCGGGGTGCTCCGGTTTCGACCATGTAAATGAGAAAAATGAAACAAAAATTTGTTGAATTTCGAATATGCAAATTTTGTTTTTTTTTGTGAAAAATCGTGGAAGAATTTGACTTTTTTCTTCCAATTTTATTCAGAGTCTCTTTTTGGAAAAAATTCTTGAAACGTGGTGGTATTTCGGAGGATGTCATCGAATTTTTTTGTGTGTCTGGACGAGCATGGACAAAAGGTTTGTGATGCATTCCACGTTCTGGTGAGTTTTTGATGAATTCTGTTTGATTACTCTTGATTTTGATGCATTTTTTATGTTTATGGACTTTCAAATCGTTTTGTGCCCACCGTAACCCTCTGAGCTGAGTGATTCAACGTTTGCTGCTGGACGTGTGTCATCATTTGGTGATCTAAATCGCCGATGAAAACACATCTCACAACCCTTGAACTTGGCCTCAATTGGATGATTTTGATGGAGATTTAACTTGAAAACGAATCGATATGTAAGGTAAAATTGGGTTTTATTCCGAATAAATTGTGAATGAAGTAATTTCTGGGAAGGGACGACGAGGATAGTTAATATAATATATAACTTAGCGTAGTATATATGGATCGTATTGTTTATTGGATATATTTGAAAAAAGTAAGCGTTGATTTACCTAGCACAATGTCAACTGGTAGAAACAATTAAGTTTTCTTATTGATAAAGAGGTTATATACCTCTTTATATATATATATTATATATACATTGCCACGGCTCCAGAGCCGGCTCTTGGCTTCGGCTCTGAATTTTGGCTGTGGCAATCTCCGTCTATAATAGCTCTCGCTTTAATAAAACGGATCGGGTTTTAAGATAGATTATCAAGAAAACCGACACTAGTAATGCTAGTCCGCTCGCAAAGTCGCTGGAGTGACCTTCGCGACATGCACCGTGCGAAAAGCCATGTCTGGATCACATTATCAGAGGTCGGAAAAATAGTAGGGGTCGTCGCAGAAAAATCCTTCGCCTCGTTGAAAAACGGGTGCAGTTTCCAACTGCGGCTAGTGGTTCTCAAAGTCTTGGAAGTGACTGTAGTAAGGTTTTTCTGTATACAATTATCCAAGTTTTATACAGTTTTTATTAGAATTAGTAAATCGTTAATTGATAAGTACAAAAAAAAGCAAAAAATATTTATTTTTTCTTATTTTGTTTGATAAAAAGTAGAAAAAAATTCTAAAATCGCTTATAAGGCAAGAACTTTCCGTTCCAAACGATTTTCACCCGATCTCCATTGGGATCTTCCACTCGATCTACAGTGAAACTAAAGTCGATTGCACTCATGATGCCATCTCCAAACTCTTCATGAATCAGTTCTTTCATTGCGGGACCAAAGACTCCCAACGCTTCGTAGAGACGGTACAAGGCGGGATCACTTGGAATGCCCGGCTGGCCCTTGTACGGGACGGTCTGAAGCCAGGGAAGACATTCAGCGCCCAAATCAAATAAAGAAACAACCGCCTTGGCTTCATCGGAGGTCAGCTGCATTTGGCCTGAAAGTTGGGCGGGGTAATAATTATTGGGAAAGCGGAAAAAATGATTTAAGACACTCAGATTCTTCTATAGGTGATATCATCCATTTCTTAATATTTTAGCTCGTACTTTGCATTCATAGCTGAGCCATTTCATGGTCTTTGGAGACAAGAGAGTATTTTTATTTAATCTACGCGATTTAAAAATCTAGAAACTTGTCTTTAAATTTGCGCCAAGTTTCATCAAAATCTGAGCACCGCAATTGAAGCACGTCCCTAGTAACGTAGCCCAAGTACGATGTCCTCGAATGGCTACTTTTCTTACCCAAACAAGCGGCCGTTGTCCATTCCTTTGATCTTCCCAATGCCTTCGCCACATCCACCCACTTCAATCCCATTACAACTTTTCTAGCGAGCAATTGTTGCGTAACTTCGGCTCGAGAGGTGATAACTCTGGACATGGCTACTTCAGTCTCCATTGGCATCAAAATTTTACAGACTGAAATTAAATAAGTACGTACGAAACTCTCTTTAACAGAAAAATAAAAAATTCAGTCTTTGTTGCTACGCAAGAAATCATAGGAAAACAGAGATTACTCAATTGTAAACAAGCGTTTTGAAACATAAAACAGGGTGAGAGGGGAGGGAAGGGCGTTTGATATTTGTTTATCCCTTTCCGGAATGAATTATAGGCGTGGTCTTGTAGTTTGGATTTATTCGCTTTCTATTATAATTATAATCAATTATAAAATTATACAACATTTCCCTCGTATTCGGGTGGAGTTGCTGTGGTAGAACAGTTGCATGTCCGGTATAACTCAGTGCTATTGTCCAATTCAATCTGAACTTTTTTTAAGTTATAATCGGCCAATACTTACATATTGATCTTCAGCTGTAATTTCCCGGGTCTGAATGCAACTTCCATTAGGGTTGTTGGTATCCTCTAGTATGCAAGGCCCGAAGTCGAATTCCGATAGATGCCTTGGGCATTTGAAGACATTACAGGGAACAGAGTCCTATAATTTTCAATTTACAATTTCATCAACAGGATCAACCTCGCAACTTACTCTTAGCTCTCTTATCTTCTCAGCGGTACAAGGGTTTCCTTTCGACGAATTTGCAAAAACCCCTGTGGCATGAATAAATCCCAGGGCCCTCCTTGACTTCATTGGGTATTTATCACCGGTTCGGCAAGTCGCCGTGCATTGCGTCCATTCTCCCCACTCGAAAAAACATGGCCGGTCCTTTTCGCTTAATGTTTTAAACTGAAATTGGATTACGATTACTTATAATGTAAACAATTTTACTGTAACCGTCTCTACAGCGAACTCCCGTAAGTGTTTTCTTTTGTCATTTGCAATTTGTTGTAAAGAAGCTTGACTGAAAAAAAACATCTCTGTAAATTCATACCTGAACATACTTCGTTAACAACGATGCCCCATAGATGGAGTTTAGAATAAGGAGACCAAGAATAAGCATTGATAAAAATAAATTGAGCAGGCCTAGACTGTGGACATGGCTTCGGGTGTAAGCGGCGGCAATTCGGATAAAAATGGATTTTGAGTGAGCCGAGAAGCGGTGGGAACTCGCCGATCGTTCAGGCTGGGCTTCCTCTGTCAGGTCCGAATACTATTAAAATCGAATCTTTCAATTAACAATCTCGGCCTCGTTACTACGGAATTTTATCTCTCGAAAATTCCACAGCTCATCAATGTTTTTCTTATCGGACCTACAGTATACCCAAAAAATTCCAAAAAAATATCAAACCCTACCTCAGCCGTATTCACCGTCATCTTATTGGGATCTTCATCCAGCGGCATCGTCGCTTGCTCACACTCATAATTCGTCGGGATCCCCAATCGATGCAATGCCTCGGGCACTTCTTTATTCTGGTCTTCTTCCTCAACCAGACAATATTCCTCGGGTCCCTCGTCAATGGGGGAATGAGTACCTCCCTGCGGAAGACTCGGAACGCTATGTTCTTCGTCTGACGGTGTGCGGACAACCCGAACATGATGTTCGCCGGCGAGAACTTGGAATTCCGGGTATTCATCGGTGTTCACCGGGGAATGGCTGGCCATTTTCTTCGGGATTTTCAAAATGGAATAAGATAAAATGGAATAAAACAAATTTCGCAGGGACAGTGCTCAAAGTGCGACGCTCAGACTTTCATGAGATTTGGCATTAATCAAGACATTTTCTATGTCGTAGAGGGTTTCAAGTTGAAAACCATAGTACTTATGGGCATTTCCGAAAAAAATATTTTAATTCATCAACTAAATCCCGCTGTTTTAAAACATATAAATAAATTTTGTAAAACAATCACCGGAAAATAATGATATTTATTTACACAGCAAATGCAACAACATCAGCCAAATAAATCACAACTTCTTAGCGTCGGCGAGCCATTTCTCCCGTTTTCTGAGGGCTTCTTGATAATGTTTTCGACGTTCCTCACTGAATTCTTTGATCTCGCTTTTTTGGAAATGGTGGAATCGGATCTTGGTGTTGTATTCACTCATCACTTCGTATTTAAGAGTCTTGACGATCTAAAAAAAATTATAATACTTTAGGTAAAGTAGCATCAAATAAAAAATCATCAATATTCTAATGACGTCATATTTCAAGCAAGCTTATAATTATAGCGTTCCTAATTATTCTAGGATGTTTACGTACATGTTGTTGATGTTTTTTGCTTTCAGTTTCCATATTCTCCATGTCCGGCCCGACATCAGCGGCGAAAGTTTTGGCCGGACTTTGAGCAGAAGGTATGATGAGAGTGTTTAATTCTTTTTCCTTCTCTTGCTTCAGTCGAATTCGAACAGTTGCCGCGGCCATTTGAGGTTTACGGTAGATTCGACGTTCCTAGAAATGAATCTATACATAAAACAGTTAAAAGCCGGCAGAAAAAATCCTTATAAATAAAGCGGTTCCGTTGAACTGAAGCAAGATTGATGTATCAGTCAAGAAAATTACTTTGCTCCTTAAATTACAGTACCAAAATCTTTCTAAAAGAGCAATAAAGGCTTTGGCTTACATCCGGTATACTTTGACAAGTGTATTCTTCATCGTCCGAGAATGGAGTGAGCTCCGTTTCCCAGTTGGATAAGGCTGTTCCGATGCTCTCGTCCAGCGAGTTCATCCCGTGCGTTCTAGATTTGCTTGGAGTGGCGGCGGAGACCACTAAACTGCCTTTCTTTTCAACTCCATATTCCCTTACCTCTACCAATGAAACTGGTCATAGCGACCGCACTGTGTTGGTCAAAAAAAACAAAACTCCAAAAATTGTAAGAATTGATAAATTTAATATGTTAAAACATCTTTATTGAAACAAGTACGGTGGCGGACCTGATCCAGCGGCAAAAGCGCTGGATCGGGACTCTCCAGTGAAAAGACTCAACGGCACCCGCACTTTTTGTGAGTGAACTTTTCAAACCACAGATTTTTTAGGAAAGTAAGGTATTTTGCCGTGTTTTTGCTACTTCCCGGATGCAAACTGGTACGTTTTTTGCCAATGGATCAAGTCCGCCACTGTACAAGGCACGGCAACCCAAAATGGAACAAAAGTTTCATTGGTTTGCCGTGCAAGGTGATCCACAAAGTCCCCGGATTGTTAAATGCTTAACTGCATAAAAAATCCATCGGACCGCTGAAAATTTAACAAAATTATACGGAAATTTGGAGGGCTAGGATAACAAAAACTATTTCTAAAATCTGCAGAGGTCTTCTTTGTTATTCCACAAACAAACCGGGACTTTGTAAACCAACCTGCAAAATAAAAAAAAAGAATAAGATCACTTGAGTAACAAATACTGAGGTTTTTTGGAGATTTACAGGGCTGGGGGCTCGGCGAGGGCACCGTAATAGGCAGTGATGGCCTTGCTTTTGCTGTTTAGGAAGCTCTGTTCAATGTCCACCTTCTTGAAATTATTGGCCAGGGAGACAATCTAGAGTCCATTACAGTCAATATTACACCTTCTATTACCACTATCTCATCCAAAAACAACATTTCCCGATCATATCGTTGAGTTGGTCTACCAAAATATAAATTCTTACCTGATCAACCGGCGAATTTCTTGGCAAAAAGTATCCGATATTGGGGGACAACTTCTCAGCCAATCGAAATATCCTGACTCCATCCAGGCCTCCCATTGAGGTTTTTATGTCGAACGTTTTGGCCTCATAACTTGGCCCTCCCCATGGTGGAGATAAAAAGACGGCGGATATTCCGTAAGGACTCTCATCTGGTCGAGGGACCTCCGAGTCATCGTCTTCGCATTTACCTCGACTTCCTAGGAAAGAATTGGCGATATCAAAGAAGTCTCCGCAGATGAATGTGATGTAATCCGCGACTCCATAGATCTCCGCGTTTCTTCGGGCACATTTTAGCCGAACCGGGTCCAAATCAATGGCATAGACTGAAAACTGACAAATTTTAGAACTAATAACCCTCAAGTCAACTAAATTCGGCATTCCCTACCATAAGCGCCATGTCTTGCGAATTGAATTGCATTTCCTCCGACTCCGGTAAAGGCGTCAAGTATAATATCGCCCGGATTCCTGACCATCCTCCGAGCAATATTCTCGGCGATTCTCTCTGGCGTCACACTGAACCAGCCTTCTCTGTCCATCAAAATTCCATGATCCATAAGTGAAAATAATCGATACCTTTGGAACCAATATTTCTGGAGCTCCTGGAACGTAAAATCAGGTAAGGAAATCGACAAATCAAAGGGGAGATGGCTGAAACAAAATCTATGCGTCTCAAACATACATAATTCCTCTTACTCTATCTTTTTTACACTTTTCCTCTTGATTTGCAGCGATTAATTCAGCATCTTTCACCTTATCAAACCCAAAATCAAAGTCTTTGTGGCATTGAACAAAAGCCTTGTCCAATATATGATTTGATTTTGGAGTCTCGGTATTAACTTTTGGCTCCTCAACACAATCATAGAAGGATTCACTGGTCTCTTCTTCAGGCTTCTTCGTTTCCTCATCGAATAATGGTTCAAATCGATAGCGAGGGACTGGGCCGACTCTGAAGTTCTTAGATTCTATTCCTTTGATATCTGATCGTTTCAGGCTGTTAGGGGCTTCTTCTGGATTAAATCCGGGGACAAATCCGGAGGCTTCGGCCTGAAAACAATAGGGATGAATATAAATTTTGCGATGAAACCGGGCACTAAAGCAAAATAAGGCTCGAAATAGATTTTCGGACAATAGAAAAACAAGATTTACCTCGATTAAAAAGTTCTTGACCCGATTTTTGATATTCTTTTTACTCTTTCCAAGATCTCCACCAAAACTGACAGGCAAATTCATTTCCTTCATGACTGATGCGTACTCTGAATTAAGAAGATTCCAATTTTTATCAATTCCACTTACCGTCCTCAGACTCTTCGGAATCAGGAATAAACGGGTTCTGGATTCCGGCGAAGTTCGTATAGTAAACCCAGTCTTTGAAGCGATTTACACTCTGTTCCGATGGTCTTACACGTGTCGGGACGTTTCGTTCTTTTAGACAGAGGTTGTAGAGGTCACAATCACTAAAATTATATATGCTATTCCACATAATTTTATGTTGGCATCTAGTGTAACAAACTTACTCAATAAACACTTGACTCAAAGTTAATTCTCGGATATCCTCTCTGGAAAACGCAATCTTAGCCACGACGTTGACTCTACGGATAACGGATGGAAGCTCTGAACACTCCTCTTGAACTTCTTCTTCCAGTTTATGATCTCCGTTGTCAAAGACCAATGCAGATTGAAGGAAGGTGTCAATGTTGGAGGCCGTGGGATGAATATCACACTCGAAGTCCATAAAAACACTGTAAATATTGTGATAACGACGTCTGCTCCAGGTCTGAGGAGGCATCTTCGTAATTTGAAGGAAATTTTATATTATCTTAGGTATCAGTGTAGAAAATCGTGACAAAATGTATCCAGCCTTTAGTAGAAAATGTTTTAAATACTCTTTGAATGTTGCTTACAGGTCATTTCAGTTGAAAATACAACAATGACTACGTAAAGACAAACATTTCAGCTTTAAATAGTAATACTTTAACCCCGGCCAGTACCAATGTCAGATAGTGCCATCCCAAATTTCGAAAACGTTAGGAACAGCTTACCCCCTTTTCCGTCCCTCTGCTATTCGATCAGCTGCACACACAAAAACAAATCCGGGAAACCCTGCGGCAACGTTGGGCGAGGTTGTGATTGGGCGGTGAAGGGTTGCACTGAGAGAGTCGAGCAGCTGGATGAACTGAAAACGGTTTGAATAAAAGTTGTGAGTTGTAAAATAAACTTTAAAGAACAGATCATGTCGGATATCGCGGACTAGAGACCAAAAATATTATTTTATGGGGACTTATTTAATGGAGAAGGTAAACTCATATTCAAACAATCTCATACTCTACTCTAGATGATGGCAGAAACAATTGCACCACGTAGATTTCAAAAAAATAGCAAAACCCTACAAAACCTGAGCTTCGACAAGCGATTCCTACAAATATTTATGCAAATCTTGTATGGCATCCGAAAAAAATTTAAACCTGCAAAACATACATACACCTTGTTTGAGACCGCAGCGACAAAAACAATTCCTAGAAGATTATGGGTTCACGGGCTCGAGCATAAAAAAGGATTGTTCACGAGACTTACTTCCCACAAATTTCGTTGGGAAAACAAGTAATAAGACAATGTTTCATCAGAAAATCGACTAGAAACCAGACTGCAGATGATGTTAATAATGTCTGGCAAAAGGAACAATTATTTTACCTGCGTGCAGAGCTAGCTGATAGAATTTGCTCAAAAATCCTTGGCGATTTCGGAATTTGCGAAATTCTTACTTGAAACAGAATGCCAAAAATTAAAAACGAATGCCAAAAGCCCGCGAGCCCGTAATGTTTTCCCTTTCTGTCGAAAATGATTCTGTAATATCAGGTGCACGCAAAAGGAGAAACAATAAAATTTTTAAGCCGTTCCTTCTCTTTGTCCTTCTTATCCTTATCATGACGTATGTCATATGAAATCTATTATCAGAAATGTATTTATTCCCTTCGAAAATTGATAAGTTAAGTTTATGATAGGCTTATGAAGACGACAGAATGTTCATGGGATGTGGAATTTGCTTGCCAATAAGGATAGGTTATTAATTCGAAAAGATATTCTCTAAATCTCTAGAACAAGGTTAATATAAACTCATATTTTAACTGAAAGAAATATCTATAAAGGGCCCGTACGAGCACAACACAAAGTCAACTTCTCATAGAAACTATTCCTCATTAATAATTACTTCCTCTCCCTTAAAATTGCACCAGAATTCCTGGAATCTTACCTTACACTAGGTATCTAAATGAGACAATATAAAAATACAGGGATGAATGTGATAGACATGGAATAGGCACTCTTAGGCAAGCTCAAGTCCCTGTCCTTGCTTACACATGGGCTCAATCAGCCTAGCTCGATAATGTAGACAATATTTTCAATAATTAAGCTTAGACAAGACAGACAACATAATTATCACTGGGCCGTTTGATGTTCTACTGGTTTAGTAAGTCCCAAGCATCATCATCAGCTTCCTTCTTCTCCACTTTCTTGACTTTGGTTGTTTTTACATCGGATTCGAATGAAATTAGCGAGTCTGGCTCGGGTTTTTTGATTTTGCCAGCAGCCCGAGCTTGAGCAGTTTTTGGAGCGCTGAATTCTGCCTCTGGCTTGGGTGAACGGGCTAAAAATATCGATTCCAAATACCTTCGACTTTTTGCTCACCTTTCTTCGGCCTGGGAGACTTTTTGGGTTCTTCCGGAGCTGGCGCGTCATAAAAAGCATCACTAAATACAAAATAATACAACAAACATTCAACCCACGCATTAGCATCCGAATTATAACTCTGGTATTCCTGATTATACCCTCCAAAGGCGTTATTCGACGGAAATTCGGGTCGTTTTTCATTGGTTGGTGTCCCGAGATCTTCATATTGACTAAAACAATATCATAGAAAGTTCAATAAATATCATTAAAACCAAAATTCTGAAAGAAATGCACTTACTTCTTCGAGAATCCACCGGCGAATCCTTGCAGAGACGGGGATTTCACAAAATTCGACAGACCTCCCCATGAATTCTTCCCAACTTCTGATGCCTTTGAAGCCAACGACGAGAATATACTTCCATCTTTATCGGCGGTCAACTCAGCCGCCTTTTGGCCAGCTTGCGAAGTCAGATCTTTCGCCACTTCAGCAGCGCTGGAGGCCCCTTTACTCAACATTGACCATCCCATACTGATGGAAGACATTGCTCCGGCTAGGAAATCGTCATCTCTCTTTGGCTGCGATTGATAATTGGGGTTGCCAAAGCCTTGAAACCGTGAGTCGGCACTAAAATAAGAACAAAATAAAAAAATAAAGAGATCTTACCCTTGTTGGGCACTCCAATTAGACCCGCTGTTCTGGAAACCACTGTCAGTGCCTCCGCCATAGTACGAACTGAGGTTGTTACCACTTTGGTTAGCTTTAAGCGAACTTGACGAAGAATGGCTGGCCAGAGGAGCTTTGTAATTCTTGGCTGATGATGTTTCATACGACCAGGTCTTTCCCTCGGCTTCGCAACTGATCTAAACAAAATCAAACTGTGAAACTGCAATCTTCAAATTTCTTACCTTATCTCGTAGCAACGCCGCAGCTTTGGAGTTGTACTTATCATGGATGTTCCAAGTCGGACTATAGTCGTCTTGCGCTTCAAAGAACTCCCTCGCGTGCTTGTTTCCTCCCACTCTCATCTTGGCCAATTCTAAATCCTTCCATTTGTCCATTGTTATCGATCGGACGAAACTTAAGGCCAAGTTCAATAATTAGTCTACATTACACTAACCTGAGATGCACACCTAATGATCGATGTTTTCCTGAGCATTCAAGGCAAATCCAAATGCCATATGAGACCGAGGCCCACTGTGGACAACCTGCGCCACATTCGAAGCATGTCTAAAAAAATGACGTCAAACATAAGGTTTTAGATGACCACTAATTACATTATTCTCATTTGTTGGTCGCAAATCCTTGAGTACACGTCTAGTACGAGGGCTGGCCATGACCAAAGCTCCTAACCGACCAGTTAACCCCTAAAACGATCTGTTTCATCAAACATCAAATACACATTTGTCAAAAACAGCTGATAAGACAATTTACACGTCCAAAAACTCGTTTTCACGGCTTTTCCCTGCGGAACTAAAGCGAAAAAGAGTTCAACGACTGGGGAACAGACGGGAAAGGCTTCCAGGATGCAGTTCGTCTCGAGCTTGTTGGATTCCAGCAGAAAGATGTAAAAATAAGAGACGAGGCAGGACGCAAACTGCGTGCAGGTCGTGTGAGCCATTTTATACGATGAAAGGCGTCCAAAGGACCAAAAAGACGAAGTTCCACCAAGCAGTTCCCCAACAATAAACCATCACGTAACTCCCAGATTAATTCACTTTACTATATTCCAAAGCGAAGTAAATGCAATTGAACAATTGTATCAAGTATAACATTTACAATAATAAATTTGAAAGTTAATGGACCATTACGAAAAGTTCAAGTTATAAAAATCCCATCGCTGTCTTACAAGACCATCTTTTTGGGCTTCTCATCCGGGCCTTCTTGGAGAAGTGGATCTTCTTTCGGCTTTCGATTCCTCTTTTGAGATTTGGGAAACTTCTTATCCCTGGTTTCCTTTTCCACCCTTGGTTCTGGTCTGGTCAACAGCTCCATGTGCTCCTCGTCGATCATCGTCATAATCCATCCAGTCAAGCTTTCGGAGTTCCGACGTCTTCCAGCATCTCTGACCTGATGTTTCATCCGCTGTCTCTCACGTTTCTCCTGCTTAGTCAAGGGCACGGTCGAAATCAACATCTGAAAGAATGGGAACGAATCTAATAAAAGTTTTGACAAAACGGCGCAAAACAAAAAGTATAATTTTAGGTATAAAAATTTCGTGAACAGATCTAAAAACCCGTAAATCTAAGCTGAAATCGTCTACAGTAAGGTACCACGGTAGGAAAAACATAACAACCACAAAAGTCTCCCTTTGCCCTATTTTTGAGCCGTTCCAATAAAACACAAATAAACTATTACCTAAAATCCCGAAATTTTCTTTTCAGGTTCTACACTTTGTGCCTGATAAGTGATGAACCCCTATAAAACCCGCATTACAGCTTTCCACACTCCACATCAAATACGCCAAGCAAAGTTGCCATACAAAAAAATGTTCGCGCAAAAAATTTCTCGACAGAAAGAAACTTGGCCGCAATTGCGAATTTTGTTTTCTCATCAAATCGCCTCTTGCTGTGATTATTGATTGGCATTTCATTGATGCCAGAAGCCCATAATTTTCAGAATTTCGGGTTTTCAAGATCGTGGGAATAATTGTCTGTGTTACAGTAATCCTTACAGTAAGACACAAATTTCACGACGATACCAGCCTCTTCCGTCGTTGCATTGTATCAGGACATTTGTTGTGGGCTTGAAGTCATGTCCCAAATATAAATTTATTTCACAATCAGTTCATTTGGTGATCGTTACGGTAAAGAAGGAATTGGATGTCATCTGAAACGAAAATTAGTCATAAATATAAAGATAAATGCGTCGACGAATTGCTTAGACTCTAAACTAACGCAAATTTGACGGAATTCTACAGTAACCAAGCTACCAAAAACATAGGTTGAAGGACCTACCATGTTCCAAAAAGAATATAATCGAATTCCAGATTCTATACTCGAAATCTGAATCCACGGAAGGCCAAGAGAGCAGGTCAAATCAAAAATTTGAATGTGACCCCATAGAGGCGTCGTTTACGACCCGCTTTCGTTTGTACGAGACAAAAGTGGAATGGGCAATGTCCACTCGCGCGTTGACCCGTATGTTTTGCCGCTCTTATTTCTCCATCAATCTCTGTGATGAGGAGGCGAATGGATCAGTTTGGGGGAGATTATTTATTTTCAATTGACTAGTCGGTTTTTGTTTCCTTGAACTTGGCGATGATGACTAAAAATTATTGGGGAGACCGGCCTTAGGTTGGGCCAAAACTCTGGGGGTGTGTTAATTTACGTTAAATAAGCTGATTTTAAACAAACAAAAACATTTATTAAGGACGGTTATTCTTTTATTGGAAGTGCATTTTTGTCTAATATCATCTCTGCAGATTTGGAAATCGTTAGCTTTTTTTTGAGAAAGTTTTTATCTACTCCCTGTTTTAGACGATGAGTATTGAACCTCAAGTGGAAGCTGCTGCTGTTCCCCAACAGGAAAAGCAGAAAAAACAAAAGGAGGGCAAAGAAATTTCCTCGGCCAAGTCATCACTTCCTGGGCAGAAAGCGAAGGATCAATCCAAAGAATCGGCAAAGAACCCGGACGAAATTGGATCGGCGAAACCAAGGGCTAAAAGAAGTTTTGGAAAAAGGAAACCCAAAAGTAGATCGCCAAAGGAATCTGAAGCCAAGGAAGCTGCTCCAGAGAAGCCAAAGGCAGCCCCATTGGATCCGGAGAGAGCGGCCAAACTGAAGGAATGGGTCGGCGAAACCTGGACTGGGACTTCCGAATGGTTCAATGTCAAGAATGGATTCGGATTCATCAAACCGACGGTGGAGGACGAAGAAAAGGCCAAGGAGAAAGTTTTTGTGCATTTTAAGAACATTCGGGTCAACGAGAAGAACACTTTCGCTAGTCTGGGAGACAATGAGAAGGTCGAGTTTACTGTAGGCATCACAACCAGGGGACTGCAAGCGTTGGATGTGAGGGGTCCTGATGGCGCGGAACTTGAAGGACATCACATTCGACCTCTCTTTGGCAACAGAAAGAAGTTGCTGAAGTAAGTTATCTTGATGATAATTCAAAATATTATACTGGCCTAACGTAATTCAAACTTTTGCAGATGCTACAACTGCGGTAAATACGGGCACAAAGGTAGTCAGTGCAAAGAAGAGAGGCTGGAATCAGCTTGTTATTGGTGCAAAGAAGTCGGGCATAAAGCCGCCAATTGCCCAGAGGCACCTAAAAAAGGAAATCGCAAGCCATCTAAAGCAAGTGCGGGGGATGAAACTGAACCAACCGAAGGCGCCAAGACTACATAAATATTTATTCGCAGCTTTGATACTATCACTGTACATTACTCTTTACTTTGATGCAGAAATGTTGTTGGATTATCTACCTCAAACAAAAATAATGACATTTTCGATCTCTAAACCAACGAAAATTCCTCATTCCCACTCCCAATTCTACCTCAAAACTGTCGTATCTTCCTCGATTTTTCTCTTGCCATATTATAAACATTCCATGTCGACGATTTCAATTATTTTTTTTTATTTTCCTATCAAATACTCAGGGATAAGATGCCTTAGCTTGAAATCTTAACCATGACGAAATAAAGGGGGTCAGGAAAACAAACGACGGTACAAAAATTTGGTTATGAGCACGGGGGGAGGAGTGAGACAAAGAGAGCGAAAGAGGGTTTTCGATCAGATACGAGATAAAAAAGACCTTATACTAGATATTCCTAGAGGATTATGAACTTAGTCCGAGTTGCGTATTCTGGAGCAGATGTCTTCGGTGAATGAAGAGCAGGTGCCTCGGCCTCCCAAATCGCCAGTCTTTTGATCTCCATGAGCAATGGCGTCGAAGCAGGCCTTCTCGATCTTGTTGGCATAGGAGTCAAGGTTCATGTATCGGAGCATCATGACGGCGGAGAGGAGAAGGGCAGTGGGGTTGGCCTTGTCCTGGCCGGCAATATCTGGGGCCGTTCCGTGGACAGATTCAAAGACAGCGGCTCCTTCTCCAATATTTCCTGAGGGTGTAACACCAAGACCTCCAATGAGACCAGCGCAAAGATCGGACAAAATATCTCCGTACAAGTTGGGCATGACTAGAACATCGTATTGACTGGGGTCTTGGACCATCTGAAAACAAAATGATTATAAAAGCAATCATATTCATCTATTATAGGTAATAATAAATGTTCAAAAGAAGACATTCTACCGGCTTGATCCTAAATGATAAACAAAAAGTCAAAACAAAACCTACGTTCAAGCAGACTGTGTCCAAATAAGCCTCCTTGAACTTGATATCGGGGAATTCATTGGCCTGTTCTCTGCACATGTTCAAGAACAAACCATCACTCATTCGCATAATGTTGGCTTTGTGTACAGCTGTAACCAGCTTTCTTCCGTTGCTTCGAGCATATTCGAAGGCATACCTGGCAACACGGCGAGAAGCGGACTCGGTGATCAACTTGATGGACTGAACAACACCCTCAACAATCTCGTGCTCAATTCCAGAGTATTCTCCTTCAGTATTCTCTCGGATCGTAACTACATCCACGTTATCATAAAGCGTTTTGTGTCCTTCCAAAGATCGACAGGGACGGACATTTGCGTAGAGGTTGAACTCTCTGAAATTGCCATGGATAACATCGAAAGTCCAAAAGTATTACTTCAAATCTTCATAAATTGTGAAAAGAGACAACGAAAAAGTCTAAAAACCATTAAAAAAAATTAAACCACCTTACCTTCTAACAGCCAAGTTAAGAGATCTATGTCCCTTTCCAATGGGAGTCTCCAGAGGCCCTTTAAGACCGACTTTGTTCTCATGCATGAGCTCAATAACTCTGTTGGGGATACGGAAAACACCGTCACGTCCTTTGACTGGCGTCACATCTACTGGATCCCATTCAATCGGCGTCTTGGCCGCCTCGAAGATCTTCTGAACAGCCGAAGAAATTTCAGGTCCAATTCCATCGCCTGGAATCATAACAACCCGTCGGATAGGCTCCGAAGAGTAGCTTCTAAGTGGAGCCTGCAATGCCTGGAATCCCCGCTTCAGCATTTCGAACAACACTGATAAACCCTGAAAGATGAAAGTTGAAGAAAAACAAGACAAAATTGAGAGAAATCAGTAATCGGCTCGTCACAAGTCAAATAAAAAACAATTCTCGGCTCTAGCCATTAGCAGGGCGATCCTGAACCAAAAATCGCTAGTAAAAGTGCGAAAAGTCATCAAAGAAAAACAAGGTATTGTTCAGAACGGCATGGGCAACATAAAGTTGCTTACAGACTAAACCACCAGCCCCAAAAATCAATTAAAATTCTCGACTTGGCCACAAATCCATGGCCAAGAGTGCTAGACTCGAAAAAAAGTCGAAGAAAAATTGAGAGCCTCAAAGCCACTCATCACATTTTCGTTGCGGGACGCGCGCCGAACATAGGTGTATTTTCACGCAAAAGGTTGCTTTTCGCCAAAGTCGGGGGTTTTTCTGGCTTCGTACACCTTACACTGGCCATTCGCTCTCATTACTCCTTTACACGACCTCCATCAGGCCTGCGGTTTACGGATTTCGGGATCAGACTGCCTGAAGCGGAACGCCACGCAATTGTTTCTTGTTTTTGGTGGAAGACGGATGGAGAAGACGGCTGTCGGGGGTGAACGGCTTGAGGGGGTGTCAATGAGAGATTGTAAATCCATTTTTGGTAACTTTATTTGGAATCGCTTTATTTCTGTTTACCTTTTCGTGGGTTTTCGAAAGATTCGCTTATGTGCAATATAAATTTGCAAAATTTCTTTAATTTTCAGGTTGCTCACTTGGTTTTGAAGCTAAAACCGACAGAATATGGCGAACGGTAAGTTGTTTTCATTTGAGAATGTCGATTCTTTAACGAATCTTCGTTTCTTGTGGTTCTAATAAAACTTATTTTAATGGATTGCGTGAGTAATGCCTGCTTTACATTTTTCAGTTGATATTCCTCGAAACTTTCGCTTGTTGGAAGAGCTTGAAGAAGGGCAAAAAGGTAACAAAGACAGCAACATTTCATGGGGTCTTGAAGATGATGAAGACATGACTCTGACACGATGGAGTGGGATGGTCTTAGGACCTCCTAGAGTAAGTTTACTCTTTGTTTCTGTTTTCTAATGTTTAGATTTGCATTTCTTGTTCTTTTTTGAAAATATTGGGAAAGCTAAGGAGATAATTGATTCTTTATTTTTTCAGACTCCTTATGAGACTCGGATATACAATCTCAGGATTGAATGCGGGCCCAACTATCCTAAAGATCCTCCAACCGTCCGTTTTACCACTAAGATCAACATGAATGGCGTTAATCCTCAAAATGGCGTGGTAAGTTAATGGATATTTTTTTGTGTATTTAGGTTGGTAAACTCGCTTCGTATTTCGTTTAAAATATTTCTCATGTCCATTTCTCGGTTTTATTTCGAAATGCACTTTTATAATATAAATGACTTCTTTTCAGGTCGACAAACGTTACGTTCCTTCTCTCCGTCAATGGTCTCAGAACTGCTACATCAAGACGATCCTCGATGACATCCGTCGACACATGATGACCGCCAAAGAGAATGCCAAACTCTCCCAACCGCCCGAGGGCACCAGTTTTTGAAATCGTTTCTTCGCTCAGTCCGGAGCTTTCAAATAGCCAATTAAAATATTTTCCTTGTCTTGATGATCGTTTTCTTTGTGTCCAGTGTGAGTAATATGTATCGGCGGTATGTGTTTTTATATTATCCGTCTATATTTAGGTCCATTTAGTGACATTTCAAATATTCGGTCGGTTTTTTGTTAGTCTTGTGTTTCGAAAACCTTTGAAAAACAAGTTCCAAAGCATTCAAGTCTTCTGGATTTGTGTGATTTCCCGATTCAAAGATGGGTTTTTAGCTAAAAATTGGTCTTTGTCCCCTAATTTCTGTCCATTTCCATCTGTCCTTGTTCGTCTGATAAACCCTGTTACAATGCCCCCTCTTGACTGATCCCGTTGTATCCACCCTTCCCCAAGGTCATACTCCTATTGTAAACTCAAAATTTTTGCAGTAATTACTTCATTTCGTGTTATTGCAAGAAAAATTCTTTGCCGAAGAACTGTCTTATTGTTTGTAAGCATTTTTGGAGTGAGAATTTATCCTTGTTTTTGAATAAATTTGATAAATCAATTTGATTTTTATAAAAGTTTTTGAGGTTCGCGTCCTCGGAATACCTGTGGAATAATATAATTTGATGGAATTTACAGTCAGGAATGAATGAGCTCCACAATGAGGAACCCGACACCATACCTCAACCCAGCACCTCCAACTCTCAGGCATTAAGTCAAGTGGTGCTCCCCGATTCGGTGGATCAACAGACTTTACAAGGTTTGTAAGAGTAGTCATTGGGTCTATTCTTCCAGAATTCCTCATTCATATCCATGGATTTCTAAAGTTTGCTGGCTTCTCGCAAGTGGCAGATGAATTGAGGAGGGAATTGGATCGGCGGAGGTTTATTCCAGCGAGGACTGGCTTCGATGGACGACCGCAGAATCAGTCGTTGGAACAATTTGTAAGTTGTTTTTGATGTTTTGTTGGCTTTTAGGAAACGAAATTCCGTATTCGGAAGATGATGCACCTAAAATAAGGTCGATCTTCCTCCAAATTGATGGATTCTCAATTTCAGCTCTCAACCGCTCAGCCATATTCTACTGACCTTCTGCAACTTCTCTCCAGAACCAAACAACTAACCAATGCCACCCTCCCTCCCACTCTGCAGAACTCGAAAGTCCGTTTATTTACTACAAAAAGGACAAATTTGGCCAGGAAAGATTCCCCTCATGGACATTTCACCTATTCGCTTCTCAATATGGGTAGACCCAAGCTTCGCCAATTTCAGAACACAAAGAATTTGAATATTTTGAATGCTCGTGAGATGGGGTTGAAGGTCGGAAAGAGGATTTTGATGCCAAAGAATACTTGGGCTAATCTGGAAGAGCATGGAAAATTTCTGGGACATTTATCACAAGTGTTCTGTGTTTGCTTTGATCGGACTGGACGATATGTGGTTACGGTAAGTTGTTTGTTTAGTATGTGGATTATTTATATATTGTAGTATGTTGGCTGAAGTTTTATTATGGGATTATATCGATTTCTAAAGTTTTATTGAATATTGTGTTCATTTTTAGGGCGGCGATGACAAGTTAATCAAAGTCTGGGATACTGTAACTGGCCTTCTACGGTACACTTTCCGAGGACATGAAGGCGAGATTGCGGACCTCTCAATTAACCTCGAAAACACCTGTCTGGCCAGTGGATCCACCGATAAAACAGTCCGAGTGTGGAGTTTAATGAATGGGCAGCCGTTGATGATCTTCAAAAACCATAAGGCATTGATTATGGCCATCCATTTCCTTCCGTTTTATGAGGGAAATGTCCGTTATTTGGTGTCATCAAGTTCCGATTGCAAAGTAGTCTTCTATAGATACGATGCGGACAGCTTGATCTTCGAGTAGGTTAAATTTGAAGGTGGTGGGATTGTTGAGTTTTGAGTTGTGACAAGACTTATTTTATCCACGTTTAGAACAACCCCGTATGAATTTGAAGAGCGGGCTCTGTCCGGCGCCAAAATGGTTGCGGCTTCTTACTCGTCTGGCGGCAATTTTGTGATCACTGGAGGCACAGAGAAGCTGGTTTACATATACAGGCTGACGGCGTATACGGTGGAAAGATTATATGAATTCTTCATTCACAATGTAAGCTTGTTTTGCATGTTTTAGTGGGTTTAAGAGTCCGAAAGAGGTCCTTTAAAATATGAGAAAACTTTGGGTAATTAACATCGGTGAATTTCAGGACAAAATCGAGTCTTTGGTATGGGCAAATAACAATTTTTGGTTCGCCAGTGGCTCCAAGGATGGAACTGCCAAAGTTTGGTCTCTAAAAGGCAATGAATGGCTCTCAACGGAACTGGTTTTACCCAAGAATATGTAAGGAACAGCTAAATTAATATGTTTTGACATCAGTTTGTTACCAGATTTGTAATGTCAGTACATCATCATTTTTGAAATGATTTCAGAGAAGAGCCGAATCAACCCATGAACCAAAGTCAGTCTCAAAACACGACAAATCAAGCGAAAAAAGCGTTCAAATTGAACATGTTATGTTGGTCTTCGGATGACAGCAAGGTTATAAGTATTGGAAACGACTTTTTCCTGCGAGTTTCTGACGCTCGGACGGGAGAACTTCTCAAGAGACTGGAAGGACACACCCAAAACGCCTATGTGATCAAGAGCCACCCTGTTTATAGTGAAGCAATAGTTTCGGCTGGCCATGACGGACAAATCTTGGTAGGTATCTAGTGTAATATAAAAAGCGATGCAATTACCAAAGTTGAGTTGTCTAGAAGTTTATTTAACGCTAGTTTTGTCGGAAATACAATCTTTGCCTCGGATATGTATGCCTGAGGGCGTTACAGGCATCGGCGGGCAAAAGACGGGTAATATCTTTTTCGTCGATGAAAACTGCTCGAAGTTGGTGTTCTGGAGAAAAGTTACTGAGTTTAGAGGGCATATAGAGGAGTAAAAAGAAGAAAGGGAGATCTTACCATTGATACTAACATTTGATGCCCAACTTTCGATCATTCGGAGGAAATAATAGGCGCCGAAAAGGAATGCAGTACCCGCAGGACCATTCTCATCGCGAAGAAGGACAATTTGATCCAAATGGTAGGGCTCAAAAATGCCCTAAAAGTGTTCGTGGGGGAAGATGACGAACTCACATCAAGATCAGCCTCGTTCAGAGTTTTGGGCACATTGAACATGACTACCAGCCCTTTTTTCTCCCGATTCACATACCAGACCGTCCCTTCAAAGCCCTTGTAATTATAAGTCTTCATGTTGGAGGGTGGATAGGTGATTTCGAGTTGATATTCTTTTCTCTCTTCTCTTTCAATCTCCTCAGGGTAGAGTTTGTGGACCGAGATGTCGAGCAGTTCCGTTTCAGCATTATTATCAACATCTTCGTCATCGTCGGCATCAAAGTCGGTGTCGGAGATAGTAACGTTGTCCAAGTCCATGTAGTCGTAGGTCTCTTCCTGATCCATGTTCATTTCGGATTTGGGGTAGATCTCGACCATTTCTGCAGAGTAGAATATTAGAATTTTGACTTACCTTATACTTGTGGGTCTAGTATAATATCCTTGAGACGAAAGCGAACGACACGTCTGATAGGTTGTATAATTTGTTTGATGAATAAAATTCCATCGATTCCATTTTAAATTTACGTGGAATTGTTTGGATCATGCAAATTTAGAGTTTGGAAAATTTTGAAAAATTTATTCAAATTATAATTATTTTTTTTCTACAAATGTTAATGACCTTTTTAGGTATGGGATATTGAAGAGGGTCACCCAATCTGGAAGTACCATAACAAAGATGAGTTCACTCAGATCCCCATCCCCATTTATGACCTGGCAATTAGGCCTGATGGAGATCTGATGGCATTTGTCGACAACAGTGGAATGCTCTCATTGTATGGCCTAGGCCAGAATTTGACGTCTCTGGAAAAGCCGAAACATCAATTCTTCAACACGGATTACGAGTAAGTTTATGTTGTAGTAGATATAGTAAAGCGTTTTTTGACGATATTTGAATGATTTTGTTTTAGGGAATTCATGTTTGATGTCAACGGAATTGCCGTGGATATCTTTGGCGCCCCTCTCCATCTCCCAGCCGAGACTCCCGTCTTTGTTAACGTGGAAGGAGCACCTTATCCATTCGATTTACAGGCGCTAGTACCAGGACGGAACACCCGAATGGACCAGGGGGAATTGATCTGGGGAGAGCATCGACGAATTATCCCGAAGTTGCCGGAAGGAGAATTAAAAGTGTTGATTGAAAAACAGATGGTCAAGAAACAAAGGGAACTGGATGAATTTGAAGAGGCCAGAAAGGTGAAATTGGACGCAGAAGTACGTCAGATGATGGCTGAACGAGCCGAGGTTGAGAAGAACAAACAACGAGAAGAAAGGCTGTCGAATCAGAGGAGGAGAAATCAAGGTGAAATTTTGATAACGTTGAATTTTTAATTTTTTTGATTGAAGTTTATTTTGCGTTTACAGAACGAAGAAATGAGATGAACGAAGTCTATGAACGTCTGATGAACCGAGAATACCAGCTAGAGGAGCAAGGAGAAACCGATGAAGACGACTCTTCGTACTCGGAAGGAGAGGCTGAACGAAGAGTTAATGGACGACAACCTCAGACGGAAGATGAGGAGGACGAGGATGAAATGGCAGATGAAAATGACAGCGATTTTGATGTAAGTTGAGATTAATTTTTGGCAAACTTGCTGGTGGTTACTATGATATTAATTTTTTTTCATTTTAAGATTAACAACCCTTCCACTTCAAATCCAAATCGATTCCGTTCTGGATTTACAGTAACCGGCCGCCGAAGAAAAAAGCGAAATGGACAAGAGAGCACCTCCCAGGAATCGGCTCAGCAAGCCCTGGGAACAGCTACTCGATATGGACGAATAGCGCGGCCGCCTCAGAGAATATACGATGATCTGGCTCAACAAAGCCCGACAAGGCAAAGGAGAAGACCCTTGAGGAGAAGGGGATCCAATGAACCCGGGCCGTCCAGAGAATTCGAAGATGAGGACTCGAGATTGGCGGATGATGACGCGAGCAGATCCCCGATACCTTCAAGGAGATCGAGAAGGATCGCCAGGATAGATTCGGAATCACCGGAACCTCAAGCAGAAGGAAGTCAAAGGAGAATACGGGAAGAAGATGACGAAGAGATCGAACAAGGGGAAGATTATGGTGATAGGAACTTGAAAAGAGTCCATCATCCCGTTGGAGAAGGCGAATTTGACTCAAATGATCAGGACGCGTCGTCTAGTGTAATATATGGACAAGGAATTTATGAAGATGAAGTTGAGAATGAGGTGGAAGATAAGTCGGATGAGTCGTTTTCGTTGACTTCGGAAGACCTGGCACCGTCCAGTCCAGAGAAAGTTGAATTTGAAGAGGAAGACGAGATTCTGGAGGCGGCCGAGGACAGCTTTATTGTTGATGACGATCTGGAAGATCAAGAAGAATTAAGTGAAAACAGCGACGAAGACGAGGAGGAGGAAGAAGAAGCGATGTCAGATGAGAGTGAACGGCCGAAGAAGAGAGTGCAGAGAAAGAAAAACCCCAAAAAGAGCAAAAAACTTGCAAAAAATAAGAAAAAATCGAAGAAATCTAAAACAAAAAGGCCTCAGAGAGGAGTAAAACGAAAGAAAACGAAGGGGGTTATAAGTGAAGAGGAGGAAGAAGAGCTGGAAGAAGAGGAGGAGTTCAAAGAAGAACCAGAAAGAGAAGAATCTGGAAATGAATGGGCTGATTTAGAGGAGGACGAAGAAAGGGGAGAAGAGGAAGAAATAAAAGAGCCAGTTGTGGAGAATGGAGATGTTGAAGAGGCAGAGGAAGTTATACAACAACCAACAACCTCGAGGCACGCTTATGTCTACGGTGATTATGATGTAAGTTAAAGAGACAAATCTTGTGTCCACTTTTTGTCTGTCCAGGATAATATAACTTTTTTTGCAGTTTGATGATTATTTTGACGAGAAGAGTGCGGATGGCTCGGACTGGGGCGAGTCCTCATATGTAAACGACGGGAAAAAGCGTTATCCTGGCAAGGCCCGCAAAAGCCGCTATCAGCCGGCGGTCCGAAGATCTCAGCGCTCCACTCGGGCCACGAAATTCACCGAATTGTCGGACGATGAGTTCCCCGATCCAAATGTTCGTCGGTCAAGCCGACAGAAGAAAAGGGTCCGGACAAACGATGATATCTATGAATACGAGTAGTCCTCGGTTGTATGCAGAGTAGCAGTTTTAGTTACATTATACATGAGGATGACTTTTTCGAATGTTTTTTTACATTGATACACACTGACCTCAATCACTATTACTGGTTTTTGTCCAAATTCCTGGTTTTCTGATCTGATCCATTCTTGGAAAATATTTATTGATTTTGTGAAACTTGTGATATTATCCCTTCCTTCAGGACTGAAAAAGTTGAAACGAATTGAATTTTTGAATTGTAGATTCTGGAGAGAGCTAAAGTTGACTATTAGGATAGAATTTGTCTGATTTTGTTGTTTTTTTAACGAAAAGGGAAGCGTTTCCACCTGTAATTTGCCAATTATCATCGCTGGGCCTTAACATTTCGAATAAACTTACTGGAACTTGATATTTTAAATAATTAATTACGTGTTTGTGATACATCGATGTATTTTGCGTCATTTTTTATTTTGATACAATTTTGCAGTCATTTTAAGTTTGTTATTATTTTTATATTGCTTTAGATGGAATTGTTCTTCGAAGTTCTCCGCGAAAAGACCCACATCATGGCCGATGTGCGGGAGAACGGGACCGTTGCGGATATCAAGCAGATCATTGCGGGTGTAATGCAGCGACCAGTGGCCGAGATAACGCTGAAAAAGAGCAGAGGAGCACAGTTAACGGATTGGGAAACGATTAGTGATGAGAAGGCACTGGTCGACCTAGGATTCACCCAGAAGAATGCCAAACCAGACGACCCAGCTATACTAGTGTTTCTATTACCAGGTAAGGAGGTTTTATCGGAAGTGGAAGAGTTTTGGATCGGCTTTACACCATGTAAAAATTGAGCTTTTGATATTAGACATCTAGCACAATATAAACTTTTATTTATTTCGGAGTTTATTTATTCGTATTTTAGAAGACGGCGGTCGTGTAAACATAACTCCGCTCTCAACTCCCCCTCCGCTCCCCGAGGCTATGCAACACAGCGAAATGAACGTGGACTAATTTTCTAAGCGTTCTTCCTGTTCTCCCATATTTGATGTAAAGGAAGTCTCCCTCTAAACTATTTGGTTCTGTAATAAAGAGCAATCCCATCAGCGGTTCGTATTACTCATTCTGATACTTGATAAGAATGCCATAAATATGATTAATGCCTGAGGCTAGATTCCAGTGGGAGGCCCTTTCCGAGTATTTTTAGGCCAGGCCAACTGTTTCTCTCGTATTATTCTTCCCATTCCCTGTCTGCCCCAACACTTTATGACTCCTCCATGTTTCGTTCGCTTTTTATCACCTAACCCAGATCTTTTTTGATACCTAGATCTTGTTTTTGATGCGGAGTATGGAATTGGAATTGGGAAGTCTAAAGATATTCAGGGAGTTGAAGAGAGGTGATTGCATCTAGAAGCGCTGCAGGTATCTTGGCGCTCAAATTGTTTAAATTTGCATCTCTAGAAGATACCGTCAGAGATCGAAGTTTCTGATAATTTTTGGAAAAGTTGAGGTAATTTTGGATTTAGAATGCTGACATTTTGAATTCTCGACCTTTCTAGATCTGTAATTGAGCTCATAGATCTTGACGCAGAAGTTCTGGCTACCTGATCTTGACGTAAATTTTGCCATGTACAGTATACGATTGATTTTTTTGGTCTCGACTTGACTAGCTCTTCATGAATTTTCCTTCGCAGGGCTCTTCGATTATTTTGCAAAAATTTAAATCCCCTAAAATTATGTGTTGTTCCAACCGTTTTTCTTTCTCTCATCTGAGTTCACATGACCTCAGGCCCTTTTTCAACCTTCACTCCACGAAATACTAATCAAACTGTTGTCTTCGCTCATCTAACCAGTATGTTCGATCACTTTATGCACTTTTTTCACCCTCGTCACATCTGGATCTAACCCTCGGATTCCGGAAATCTCTTCAATTCAAGTGTTATAAAGGTGATATAAATAGAAATAATAGTCGTCTGATTGTCTGTAGGGTTGGCAGATGTGATTTTGATTGGTACTTTGAGCATTGTTCTTTGGGAAATTACGTGAAAAGAGGTCAGAGATCAAGTGTGGGGTCCGACAAAGAGAGTGTCAAATTTCATTTTTTTGGAAAAGGTAAAATATGTGAAACCATTGAGGTTTAGTGTCTTATAGCCATAGAGCTTCAATGTCTTATATTTTCAAAAAATTACCGATAAATCTTCACATTAGTCAGCATTTTTTGACAAAAGTAATATGTAAGCCAAATTTTTAACACGAACCCCAAGCAGTCGGCCGGTAATACAAAATATAATACAATCGCTAAATAAATACCATACTAATATTCTTTTATTACGAGCTCATAAGATCATTTTCTGTATCAAGAAGCGAAAAAGATAATAAGCTTTGCGGTTTCTTACGATTTGATCTTTGATATCAGCTGATAAGGACGTTAAATCAAAATTAAATTGAGCAAGTTGTCGAAAAAATCATGCTTTTAGCCATCAATCATGTTCAAGTGTTTTTCTTTGCAATTGCTCGATATTTCAAAGCTTTTTTGAAGTTTTGAAGATTAATGTCTACTATAACATTTAAATTTTTATTTTTTGCCATTTTTTGAGAAAACCTCTAATTTCCTTATGTTTCTTGGTGTTCAAAACTTTTTGTTTTACCTGTTTCCGCATGAAATTTTGTTGTCATTTCTTTACGCCTCGTAAATCATCTCTTTTTTGCGCAAGAACCCCTTCTTCTCGACCTTTACTAATTATAAAAATCGTGTAAAAAAATTGAAGCCAAGCTTCTCCACTTCTTTATTGTAATTGCTTCTCCCTCGAAATTACAAAACACTTGCTCCCCATTGTTCTCGGTGACTAAATGGGATCAAAAACAATTCCGGAGGCCTGTTACATGTGTATAGTCGGTCACTTTTAAACATTTCCCTCTTTTTTCGTTGACATTTGTTCGAGATGCTTATGGGCCGCAGGCATTCGGCCTATTAATCGCCCTCAGGGCGTCTTTAAAGTTCTTTAAAGTGCGAACGGATCGGAAATAAATCGGTGGCCGCATTTGAAGCATTAAATTGGGAGAGGAATTTGGATTTTTGGAATGTTCGGAAGGGTAATTGGAGGGCGAGTTGGTGGTTTAGAGGTGTGATAGGAGCCAGAAAGGGTACAGGAATAATGTTTAAGGTGGCAGAGGGGACCTTTAATATTGCACTTGACCATCAAGCGATTGATGACCAAGTATAATATAGCAGACGTTATTGATTGTTTCCCTCACTTTAGCACCCTTCTTATCAATTTTTAGGTCTACAGCACGTTTTTCATGAATTTAATATTTTCAAATACAATTTTTATAAATTTTACTTCCGAAAAACACAATTATCGCACTAAATTTCCATCAATCACCGCTGTTCCGACTTAATTTTGCAGTAAAGAAGCAAATTTACAATTGTTTGTGGCGATTCGCCCACGACTTTTCCCTTTTTGTTTACAATTTCCCTGCCACTTATTGGAAATAAAAATAATTTTACCGTCAGATCGGAGAGAGGGATCGTAATGTAAATTTTCGGCGACTTTTCGGTTTCACGCATTTCGCGCAAGGCCATTTCCCTTGAGATCTATGGAGATTTTTTGTAGTCACTCGGGGTTTTTTGGAGTTGCGGTAATGTGGAAAGAGACCCGCGGACATTATTTTATGTTATATTATGTATACAAAATGTACAGTGGGTTGATGACAGAGTCGAATAATATGGGTTATGATGTTATAAACTGTGATACAGTTCGCTCAACCTTTTCAATTTGGATAACATTTGACTTTTCTCAAAATTTCCAAAAAATCCGTCATCCCGATGTCATAAAATCGGACTGGATCTCACGGTTGGTCTGAAAATTTCTTAGTGGGGAATTTTGAGCTGTATCAAAACGATTGTTGTAATCAAAATACCCAAAGATGTGTTCTACATCATGTCATGGTGACGGATTTTCTGGAAAGTCGGTTTAAAAATCTCAATTTTTTTTCAAAAGCTAGCTGTAAAAAATAAGCGACAAATGACTCTAACGTTTTTACAATATTTAGTTTGCCCATTTTGCTTTGTACGGCCGTCTTTTCATATCGATTTACATTGTAGCTGACATGTTGACAAATTTGTTTTTCATTTCCAGGACTCTCGTCCATTCCGACTGGGGATGGCCAGTGCCGCCGCCACAGCTCGATCTGCTGATCAGAAAAACGCAACATCACAAGGGTAAGAACATTATTCTGGCTTTAGGTGGATTACATTACACTAGGTCATACCAATATTCAATACGTGATTTTTGTTTCAAAATGTAGCTCATTGTTGTTGGAAATACAGCTGAAAACAACTGTTGAGTCAGTTTTTGACTCAAGGGTTAAATTTAGAATGAATAAAGTTGTCTTACGCAATTCCAATAAAACAAAAACAATAAAATCACTTTCCAAAAAAATTTATTGCTGTCGTACTAAGTCCTCTGGGTTATGGAAGCCAAAAGATCACTCTGATTGCCCTAGGCATTGAAAAACAGTAATTTTATAAAATTTATTAGTCATCATGGCAAATTTTTTAAGTTTTTTTAAAAATCTTGGGACAAGCTCTGAGGCTGTAAACTCAATTCCAATTTTTGAGTCCTCAGGCAGTCTCATAAAACCTTTCAATAAATTATTTCCGCTTACGTAACACTCACGTCCGTAATTTTTTTCCACCAAAAAATCGGACAAAAAACTTGGCCAATTGTCGGCCAATGGGTGGAATCTAAAATAAACGTAACGAAAAGCCCTCAGGTAAAGTCCGTCTCCGATTTCTTTCGTTTTTTTGCGACTCGGAGCAGCTGATTTTCGCCTCGAAAAAACATAAACCCGGAGGGAACGTGGACAGAAGAGAGCCTCCGGCATTCGGATTCTTTTTTATTATTGTCCTTGATCGAGACACTTTCGGCTCCGGCTCCGGCTTTGGGACTTTGCGGACCGCTTTTCTCAAGTTTCTTGGAATTTCGAGAAAAAACGAAATGAAAAGTAACTTTGGCGTCCAATGAGGTAAGAAATGGAAAATTAAGGTTGCTGATCAAGGTGAAGTTATAAGTACTACTGTAAAATACGTTATAGGAACAAAATTTTTCTCGATTTTTACCCCTTTTTCGGAAAATTCGAAAAATTTCAGTTATAATTTTAAATAAGTGTAAAGTTGTAGATACTACTGTAAAATACGAAAATTATATTATAAACCTTTCTTTGAAAACTCATAAGGATTACATTAGTGAGCAAAGCGTTCTTTCTTTTGGTATGTTCCTTGTTGAATTTGAATTTTTTAGCTGGACATCATCTCATTTCAACCGACCCACTGGGTCGGGCATTGCGCTGAGGTCCAGTCGATTATTGGCGGCGGCGAATACAAAGCCCACCTCCTCCACCTACACTCCCCGCTCCTCTTTGGCGGCCAAGTTCGCGGCCCGCGATAAGCCATCCACTTCGAGGACAACGAAAACGGATTATGGAGCTACTGTAAGGCTATTTTCGGTCGAAAGAATCAGACAAAAGTTCCAAAAATAATTTTTTTATTATTTTAGACCAGATCGACCTCCGAAACGACCCGGCCCTCTTCGACGCCTCGGGCATCGACGTTTAGTATTTCATTTACTAACAAATTGCCAGAGACGACCAGAAGAACCAATGGGCGATTGACTACGGATCTCAAAGCACCCGAACCGACCAGTTCTAGGACAAGTTCATCTACTGCAAGGACAATTGTAGGGACTGCTGGAAGCGATTATCTGAGGAGTAAGTTGATTTTGAGATCCTATAAGGTGTATTACATCTAAATTAGCCCCTCAACTATTCTAATTCTACGATTTTTAGCCCGCCGAAAACCGGATGACATCTCCTCCGCCTCTTCTTCACGTTCACTTACCACTAAAATGGCCGGAGTTCCGGAAGTCATCTCCAGATTCGGCTCAAGATCTCCCGCCTTTCTTGCCGGAGGCGTTGTTCGAACCACTGCTCCCAGTTATTCGGCAAGTCGGCCCAGTCGATTCAGCACATCTTCTCCGACAAGTCCAAGTCCCGCAAAGCCAATCAGAAAAGAAGAAAGGCCATGGAGAGTGAGGATGGCGGAACAGAGTCGACTGAGGGATCTAGAAACTCCGACAATATCATTTACGACCGCTGGAGGAGCTACGAGTATAGTGACGAGGACGAGGCCAACGAATACGGAGATCTCGAAGACCGCGGTGAAAGAGTCGACACCTGTTTCAAGTCTGGGCCTCAGGAATTATGAGAGCAAAGTAGGTCTTACGGCGCAGCAAATTTACGCCGTTCTCATAGATTTTATTTGAGTTCAGTCAGAATCCAAACAAGAAATTTTCATGGATAATATAATCAAGATTTCAAATGTTTACAAAAATACTTTGCATCATGTTTTCTGAATTAATGACGACCTGTTTTCAGTTTTCCAACCGTTACTCAGCCTCCCCGGTCTCCTCAATTTCCTCAGCTTATTCCCCATCCAAATATCGCCATAGTGTTCCGGTTGGTCGATTATCACGAAATTCATCGACTGCATCATCGACATTGTCCTTGTACTCTCAAGTCAACTCCCCTAGATATTTATCACCTACTTTTGCGCATGGATCTGTCAGTCAGGCCAGACAGAGTTCGCTGATGACCAGGTAAGCTGATGGATAATGTATAGTGTACCCGAGAATTTGTGAATTTTACTGCAGTACTTGAAATACTGAGAACCGAAGACTTTCTAGACTTGATTTTTAAATGCTTGAAAATAATATCCGTCATCATGACGGGTTTTTTGCATAATTAAAATTTTTTGGGCATTGACACAAAAACTTCCTTACCCCTATTTTTAGCAATTTTTTGCCTTCTGTTGTGCAGTACTGTCCATTTTTTCCACTTTCCTTGGAATTCCTCGCCCATTCCCTTCTCCGACTACCCTTTTCCATTTTTTCAGAAGTTTGTATACACCTTCCCTCAGTTCCTATCATCCCCCGCCTTCCCGGATGTCCCAATCTTATACGGCTAGGTATGACAACATCGCTTGTAGTGACTAACCCAATACTTCTTGAGGATTAATCAATTCCGAGTAAAGATTTGGAACTTTCAGTGAATTGAAAAGAATGGGAGAAGGAACAAAATGGACTCCAGTAGAGCCTAAGGGGATTCCTGAGGAAAGGAGAAGTCGGGATCCAGAGAAAACTCCTAAAGGTAGGTCAAAGTAACATCTCGGACTTTTATATACGCTTTTGCGAGATCAAATCATCTATTTTTGCACTTGCAACGAAATTCAAAAATGGCGGGATTTCAGAAAGTTGCTTGTTTTTTTATTTTTTTTTTTGTTTTTACAAAAATTTTTACGGATTTTCGATGCTTGATTTTCCCATTTCAGCCCGCAGTCGGAGTGTTTCGAAAAAACGAAGATCCAGAAGCCGTTCCGTAGCCAATGAACCCCCGCCACCCGCAAGCTCATCAGATTCCGCAAACGAAAACGAGAACGGGAAAGTCGAAAAACGGAAGAAATTGCGGAAAAAATCGTCCGCCTCAAATATCGGTGAGTTTTTGAATCTGGTGTCAAGTATAATATAAAAAATCTTGGTAGTAATGTTGAATAGTAGATGCTGTTTTTTACGTCGAGCCGACATTTGATTCCTTGTTTTCGAAAAGTTCGGCCATTAAATTGATCAAAAGGAAGAAACTTTCGGGCCATTTCCCATGGGACGCTAAAACAAATTATCTGATATACGACTTTGACGAATCGTTTTGCTGACTTAATTTTTGAAGAGAATCGGGGGCTTGGAGTAATTTGAAAAGAGACTGATAAGTTGGGGGAGGATTTTAAGTTTTGAAGGAAATTGTTTTGGCTAAGGAGCCAAGTATAATATTGAAAATAGATCAGAAGTTTTGACTCGAAAAAGTCTTCCGTATTTTACCATTACCTAGACATAATAAGACCAAAATAGACCAAACAGTCAATTAAAATTTTCGCATGGCTGACAAGTTGAGGCGTACTTGACGGCGTATTTGTTTATTCAAATCTGTATCCAAATCTTCAAAATGCATAAAATACCATTCATCGACATCCCTGTCAAACCCACCAAATCCTTCATCCCGTGGCCGATAGGTTCAATTAATCAGGCCCCGAACGTGGCCACAGGTGAAAGAGCGTTTGGCCACAGGTCAGCCCCCTTTTTTATATAACGGCTTCTCTTTGTTTCAAGGGCTCTACGATTCAAGCAAAGAGATATTGATATTAGTTTTATTGAGATCTCTTGGCCGCCTCTTTGCATGTTGATTTGAATTTTGAGATAAGAAAAAATCGAGGGCCATGACTCGTCAGAGGTTTACAATTTCTGTGAAGCCGGCTAGCAGAGGTAAGAGGGGAGATTTGGGGGTAATTTTTATATTGTAGTGGGTGAATTAGGTCTCTTTAGTCTTATTACACCTTTGGTCATCAAGATCTCGTCATTTTTTGTCTTGCAATATATAGCTTTAGACAGCTTTATTAATATGCTACCATGATTTGTCTCATTTAGCTGAACCCTACCTTCCAATGTCTTTTTGATTCTTCATCTGTCTTTCCGAACGTGCTTCACACATTTTTTTCGGCTTGACACCTATATATAAATATTCATTACCCTCCCCAAATACCGACTTTCGGGGGGCTGGGTAATGGGCAGATGCTTTTGTTGTCGTGCCGTTTGGTGACGATGGGCAAGAGGGGGAGCAGAGCGGATCAAACGATTGGGACACAAGGGATTTATTTAGGTTCTGGAAGTCGGGGGACAAGTTCAGGACATCATCTTTTTGACACTTTTTAATCCCTCCGATTTTTGAAGATCCCGACTTTCGGCCCGGTTTTACGAGGTTGTAGTGGATGCAAATTGCTGGTTTATGGGTGCTATCAGTCTGTCGGAAAAATAACGGCGGATTGTCGCAGCAAAATGTCTCGCCTCGCCGCTATCGCGCACCAAATCCCAAGCCGCGGCTTACAGTCGCAAAGCGATGATGGGCGATTCCGAGGCGCGACGATCCGCCGTTATTTTCCCGACAGACTGATATTTGGAGAATACGAGTTGATCTTTAATTTGGGAATAAAATGTTTTTGTTTTTTCATGATGAAAAAGGGAAAATCGAAAATAAATCTGGCCGAAAAAGAATTGTCCTTCTCGCAGCATCGAAACCGCAACCCCGCAAATGAGCGGCACCGAAAGTTTTTGCGATGCGTTGCAAAAATGCGCGCGACAAGAGAAAATCGCCAAAATTTGGGGAATTTTGTTGATGCACGGTGCAAAAAAGCCGTTTGCACTGTGCAAAGCCCATTTCTATCGCTGGCGATGCGTCCTTTTTGCTGGTTTCTTCGGCGACGCGCTCCAAATTTCTCCGCGATGCAAATTGGGGTTTGGAGTGAGTGTGACGGAAAGGGGCGCGGAGGAAAATTATTTTTCGGGAAGACTGAAAAATTATTGATTTTTGAGGGATCGTTTTTAATTTTTGATGATTTTTGCAAAATTTAGACCGTATTTTAGCCAAATTTTTTTCTGAAAAGTTGGTGTAGAATCTAATCATCAATTTTCTTTCCAGTTCCCACCTTTGCGACCACCCCGAATACGACAAAATCACCTGTAAATAAACCGAAAACAACCAAAATGCCGGCCAATTTCGAAGGCCAGCTTCCCAACGAACCCAAATCCGAAGTCAGCGAGACTATTACCGCCAAATCTACGCCGCTGATCAAGACAGATCCACCGAACGTAAGGTCTTTCCATCGATTTTAGGCATTAATTTTGAGCGATATTACTTTAGACACGTTTTGTTACACTAATCCGGTAGAATGGGCCTAATTATTGTACGTATTGTGTTATTTACAGAACGGCTGGAAGAGGCGGCACATCAGACCGCCGAAAACTGTGCACTTTATTCCTTTTTGTCTCGAGATTAGAGGTTAGAGCGAGTGTTTCACCAACTTTCTTTTCTTTCTTTGCTTGTCCGTCCGCTAATTTTTACAATCTGCGAAGTGTTTCGTACGCAGCAATAACGCTTTCTTCCTCATGTTGCTTCGGAATAGAGATATGGGGATCAATTTGTATTAAACTTGGGTTCAATTTTGATTTTTGAAAAAAAATTATTGTCGTTATATTAGACATGATTTTGGGAGTATTCCAGACGAAAATTTATATTGTAGTAGATACAAGAAAGTGTTCTAATCTGTGAAAGTATAGTGTCAATAAGATAGTAAATGATCTAGTTTGTCGAGTTAGACCCTTCTTGCAGGCTTACGTGAAGTTTTACTGAAATAGAAAAGAAAATTATATTACACTAGACATGAGAGCAAATTTGATAAAAAAATTATGTCAAAATCCTATAAATTTTAGAAAAAACTGTTGCACAGTATTTTTCACGATATGTTTTCTGTTTTCCTCATCAAATTATTTTAAAATTTTTATTCTAAAATACGACTTTTAGCCATTCCTTTAAGCTTATGACATAAAAAATTCTGCTTTCTAACTTGTCTTGCACATTTTCATATTGACTGTAGTTTAAAGTACGATATTCTCAGCCAGTTTTCCATAAAGCTTCTTGTTTTTTAGAAGAATGAAACCGAATTTCACGCAGTCACCACATTTAAACCTGCTGGAGCCCTGAAAAAGAAGAAAATCCTGGAAGAGACCTCCAATAAACCGGTGCCGGGGGTCTGGAATGGAGAAAATGAAGTCTTCATCAGCTGTAATAAGAGCCTTTTGAGGTAAAATACGTTTAACAAGTCAACTTACTTTTTAAAAAAATTTTAGCCATGGATAATGAAATTTAAAAATTTGAAAAAAAATATCTTGAGGTCAATTTTTGACACGAAATCATGTTTTAGAAAAGAATCCAAGATCCAAATTGAGGTTGTAATGAAGCATATTCCCCATTCCAAAGCTCCCATCGCTTATTTCAAGGTCCAGAAAAAGAGGAGGATCGTGATAATGAGTCGAAACAAAATTGTGAACGCCAGTTTCATGAAGCCTAGGGTTCATTCGCAAACTGTAACACTGACTTTGAAGGATAAACAGTGAGCTTTTTAACTATTTGTTTTAATTTTGAAATTTTCGATTTTTTTATATTTTTTTGCCTAAAAAATGTTTATTCCAATTAAATTTTAGTGCGATCCAAAAATCCGTCGCAAAATTGAATGTGAAAGAACCGAAGAAAGCAGTGAAAATTGAGGAAAAGACGATAAACGAACACTTGGTGAAGAATAAACAAATGAAACTGAATGTGGAGAAGAAATGGAGCGAAAAGAAAAGGTAAAATACGTGATGGCTGTACGCTTCAGCCTGAAAAAAATTTTTTTTTGCAGAAAATTTTTATTTTTCAAAATATTTTTTTTTGTAAGTAAAATGATAAAAAATATGTGAAAATTTGTTTTTAGGGATACTGTAATTTGTTTTTACTGTTTTTTCAAAATTTTTGTACGTGTTTCTCTATCTTCAGATCAATTGCTCAAAAGTTGGCACTGAAATGTAAAGCAGTCAGCGAAAAGATGAAGACGGTCAACATGAACATCAATCGACGGCCAGAACAAAAGGCTTGCAATGTAAGAAATTTCAATTTTAATTTATCAAAAGTTTTGTAAAATATCATCCTTTCGATGATATTTGACAACTAAAAATAGGCTTTATTCTCCCTTATGATTCAGGGCACGGTCCGTCTCCCGGCCGAAGCACGACGTGAATCAGTCCAGTTGAGTATTTTACAGCCCATGAATGTGGCCGTCACCTTGGCCCAGCCGCCCAAAATCATCGAGATTCTCTCGCCGGAGCGAATCGAATGGTCGGATGGGTTCTCGTCGCCCGAATTGTATGAGGTAGGGGTAAAATACGTCGTCTCTTACCGCTATTTCAAAAATGTTTTTGAAAATCAAAAAAAGAATTTTTTTCACAGCTTGGTGAATTTTTTAAAATTACTGTATATGGTGTTAGTTGCAACTAAAAATCAAAATTATTTCCCATATATGTAAAATACGCTGATTGCAGCTATTTTTGAACATTTCGGTCAAATCCTGCACTGTGTGACTAAAAATTTATTTTTGAAAAATTTTCTTTCTCCACTGCACTGGGCGGAAAATAATTTTCAAAATTGGAATTGTAAAGTAGTATAACTACCCGGAGGAGCGAGGTCAGAATGCAATTACCGACTTTATGGCCATATCTCCAGCCGGGGAATGCCATCTGTTATCCCCTCCGGGTAATTGAAAGATCTTTTACTCATACCGATTTTTTTTATTTTTTCAGTCTCAATGGCTGTTAGGCAACAATTATGAGGAAATTTTGAGGGTAAAATACGGTCTTCAATGTTTGTGCCTTTTACCAAATTTTTGTTTGGATTACTGTAATTTATTATTGAATAGAAAAGATGTTTGGGCATTGACTTTTGCAATTTAAAAAATGCCAAGAAAAAGTTCAAAGCTGCTGCAAACACTTGAGTCTTATTTCAAAAAATGAAGCCTGCTCTTTTCTTCACTATACATTAACTTTCAATTTTTACTTATTTCTAGTATAATTTCCCAAATTTCCAAATACCCCCTAAATTTTATGTTATTTCCCAAAACATGACCACAAATGTCATCCCTGATCCCCACTCTCCTCCCTCCCCCATTTCCACGGCATATCCCTCCTCTTTTTTCGGCTGCAAATCCCTCCCGATCCCCTCAGGGCATCTGTGACTCAGCGGCCCCTTATCACACATAAACGTTTTTTGATAAGTACATCAGTAGGCCGGAGGGAGAGACGTGATCCAACTCCCATTCTTCGTATCCGTTCTTCAGGCTGGTGTAAAGTGCGGCTGTTTTGGATCATGGGAAGAGGGAGAAGATAAGGAGAAGCAGGGGGAGGAGAGCTTGACCAATTGTTCACGCGACTCTAGCTGACATTATGTGCCGAGTTTTTTATACTTACGAAAACAGCGGAGCTTCGAGAATCATAATTTTTCAGGGGAAAATATCGTTTCGAGACCAATTTTTTACGATAATACGGCAGTTTTCGAGTATTTTTGTTGATTTTTTATTTTGTAAAATTTTATAATACGTTTATTCTAATTTAACATGCCTAATTATACAAATACGACTTGAAAAAATAGACCACGTTAGACATTTTTAATCAAAAACTATCTAAATTTTGATGGATAATATAGTGTATTCCTATATAGCCAGAAAAAATGGTGTATATTCGTCTTGAAATACCTAAGGATGATTTGGATAGCTTTTTCTTTAACTTCCACGGTTTGTGCAGCTATTACAGCCCTTTGAGCAAAATGCCAAAAATTGCGGGAAACTTGATTTTAAAATTTTCGATGGATTATTGAGTGGAATATGGATCCTAAAGTTGATAAACCTTGTTGATTGTTAGAAATTTTGTTTTGCTTTTTTTCAAATACCGATCTTGTGGGCATGGTTTGATGTCATGTATAATATAGTATAAAAATTAGAAAATTATGATTTTATTCCAATTTCATTTCTTTCAGCGTGAACTCCACGTCCCTCTACCTCCCAAACATCAACCTGGAGGCCCACTTGTTCTTCCCGATCAGTCCACTTTGGAAGAATACGTTAAACGGTAAAATAGGATGACTTAAAGCAATTATTCAGCTTTTAAAAGGTATTCAGATTGAATATTGTCAGCTATTATTTGTTCCCAAAAACCTCGAAATCATTTCGGGTTTTTTTTTTGAAAACGTGATCACGTCAAATTTCGGCCCTTAGGGCATCGGAGAAGATCGTTTCGTTTTTTCTTCACCTGACATAAAAGTTAATCGTCTTCTAAAGTGTCTGAGAAGTGGTATTCATTTCGTATTTTAGGAAACGGAACCACCTCGAGACGATTCGAATTTACAATTCGCCCGTGGAAAAGCCCGACAAAAACTCGGTCAACGGTACGTTTAAAATAATTTCAGCTTCTGTAAAATGCTTTTTCTGACCCCCACGGCACACGGCTAACTTTATTCTATCAAAACTTTTTGTTTTCCCACTTTTTTGGACATTTTTATATTATCCATGATCGCTAATATGTTAACCTCAAACTCACAGCTTCCCACCGCCAAATCTTTGCTGACCCCACTAAAATTAACCGTATTTTACGTTGAACTAAATATTTTTTGTTAAGTTTCCCGAACTGTTTGGTTGAAACCCCAGAAACCGAGCTTCCAACGCATTTCCCCCCAAATTTGAGGAATTATGGACGGAAAACGTTAAATCTTATGGTTAGAGTTTTCTCCTTTTCACGCCTTTACATTTCTTGCTTCTTTTTTTGTAGAAAATGGCTGCGAGTGGTTGTAAAGACAATGCTTATAAAGATTTTTTAGATACGGGTGCTGAGGCCCGCAGGGCCGATTCCAATATGACCCCGAGGCCGAATGACCCAGTTCAGATAATCCAGCCCGCCAAGGTCAGTCCAGCCCCGCCCGCAGCGCCCGCCGGACTTCTACGCGCCATGTTGAGGTGAGTTTTTTCGATTTTTTTGCAAATTATGTCATCTTTGCCCAAAATAATGCAATTTTTCGGAAGAAATTGAGGTTTTGATGACGTTTTATCCTTCTACGAAGAAATCGGTGACATTGGACGAGTAAGTAATCTTTTATAAATTTGCAGAAAAGCCTCCGACCCCTCAGGCAGTAATCGCCTGCAGCCAATGAAAGCCGTTTTCGATACTCCAAAATCGCCATTCGAAGAGAAAATGCAACAACAAGCGAATAAGCTGAGACAGGCCGAAGCTGAAGAGCCCAAGGCCGACAATAAATGGAAAAGAAGGTCCATGGATTCGGATCTGGCCCAAGGGTTCCAGGCGTTGGCCGCGCAACATTCCAATAAACCGGCCGAAAGATACGCGGCCCATATCCCGATCAATGTGCCCTCGGGCAGACAGAGTGTGGCTAGCGTGGAGTCGGTCCAGAGGTGGGTAAAATACGACAGTTGAAGCATTAATGTGCATAAATGTACTTTTAAAACTAAAAATCTGACCTTTGGGCGAGAAAAAAATGTTATCCATGAGAGTCGAAATGAGCCTTTAGATGACTGATTACTCATTGCATGATCTCACGAGAACTTGTTTCCTGAATGAACAGGTGCCGAGGATGGAGTATCCGTTAAACTGTTTAGTTTCATTCGACGACTTGTTTCCGGCCCTTATTTTAGATTAGTTTAGATTGAAAGTCAGACTTTGAGATTTATTTATTTTTTTGTTTGTAACTATTTATATCAAGGCAATGGATTAAGTTTTATATGTGCTATCGGAAATCTTAAAAAATCTTCTTTGAATTTCTCCATGAAATCAATTTTTTCACTAAATGACCATTAGAATTTTCCCCTCGAATATTTGTTTACAGTTCATTTCCACTTCGCAGCTGATTAAGAGTAACCTTTGGGGCGCTCACTAATTTCCAGAGCCCTCAAATCCCATTTTTTTCCTCTCGAGACTTGTCAAAAGCTCGAGATTTGAGGACCTCTTCGATCTCTCTGGGTTCCCATTATTTTTGGGAAACCTCTGCCTTTCGCCTAAATTATCTTTAATTACAAGTAAAATTGAAACGATTTTAGGGGAAATCTTGGAGTGGACAGGGTTTTGGAAGAATTCGGAGAGATTTTTTGCGGGGATTTTTGTGGTTACTGTAATTTTTTGGATCGTGATTTTTTTTTTGTTAAAGGTTGAATGGATGGTTGAAGTAGTATCAACCATGCTTTGAGGGCCCCTAAATTTATTTTAAACTTGATTTTTTACCCATTTTTTGGGCAAATAGGATTAACAACATGTTTTAAAAAAGTAATCCAATTTTTTTGCGAATGTTTATAAACAAAAAAAAGATAACGAGAATTGATGGAGTTTATTCAACGTTAATTTTTGTTTAGAGTACCTTATAGACCATTTGGAGACCTTTTAAAACATTCTACCATTGACGTCATGGCACGGCATTCTGTACTTTTGGGACACAACCGATCTCCGCGACTTTTTCTATTTTTTTCGTAGCGCGCTTGCTTTCTCTCTCCATATCTCGCTAGCCATTTGAGCTAGAAGGCTGAAATTTGGCATGGGAGTAGAGTAAAAAGCCAGCTTTCAGAAAATATATAAATTGTAAGGAACCCCGTCGTATAAACTTCGCAATGACGATTGAAAAAAAATCATTTTTAAACCTTCTGCAACCCAAAAGTGCAAGTTGCAAGATCGTATAGACAAATTTTTTTTGTCTATGTGTGTCAAATTCGATTCTCTACAAGATAGCCAAATCTCATCTTATTTGATGTGTAGCGAAAAAAAATATTGTTATCCATGCATGGATAACAATATTTTTTTCAAAATTATTTTTTTAATGGTTGGTTGTTTCAGCGTCGCCCTGGACAAGGCCTCGCAACAACTTGACCAAATGATCGACCAGGCCCGCTACAAACACCAGCAGCATCGAACAAAGTTCAAGGAAGCCATCGATTATTTGGACCAAATCTTCGAGGATCTCAAAAAGGAAACGGTTGAGCCGAGTAAAAAGCCGACGGAACGGACGATCCAGAAGCCCGAGAAATTCCCGGTGGGGAATCAACTGCAGGCTAAGAATAGCTTGAAATCCCAACCTAAAACAACATCACCGCAAAGGCCGCAGCTGGTCAAAAGTGTCAGTCAAGATGGCGGAAGTAATGTGTAAGAGTTTTAAAGGCGATTAGTGGTGTTTGGATAAAAGATTTTGATTTTTTAAAGAAAAATTGCTAAAAATTAGGTTATTTTGGGAAAATTGATAAAAAATTTATTTGAATTATTTGTTTATAAGTCAACTTTTCTGGAAAACGTGTGGCTAGGTACATTTAAGAGGTCTAGTTCGATCAGCCCAGACCATATGACTGACCCTAGTATAATATAAAAAGTACGCGTTGAGGTCTAAAAGTGATGCAATTTTACTTCCAATAGTTTAAAAGAGGTGAGACAGACTATAAAAAACACTAGTGGATTTTTAATTGATCAATGATCAAAGAATAATATCAAGCACACTATCGGAGGTAGTATAATGTATGAAAAAATTACTGAAACCACCCTCAATTTTAATGATGTTAGTCTCACAACCAAAGGTTATAAATATTGGGCAATCTGCTCGACATTCTTCGTTCCCTTTAAGCCTCGGGATTGTGTTGGCCCACCTGTCCGAACCGAAAATGAAATGAGAGAAATTTGCACTTGGATAAGGGCCTATTTATCAGCCCAAGAAACGAAGCTTTCCCGGCCCAAAAAACAGTCCGAGATGGCCTCAAGTTCAGGTCAAGTGACCTTTACCTCCATCTAATCTGTAATTCTGCGACTCTTTAGATCTATCGCCTCAGGCGTTTTGGTGTTTTATTTGTCCTATGACCTGAAATCTTGTGTTCTTTGTGTGGCGTAGTCAATATTCAAAGGATACACAGATATTTCAAGGTTGTATTACTCGTATTTAAGATATTTTCTAACTAAAAGTTGGGATTATATTATACTAGAGAAAATTTGGTTAATCTCAAAATTTGGAAGAATCATTGATGTGATGGTGATCTATATTGATTCCTTTAGACGGATACATCCTCAAAAACAACCTCAACCGGCCAGATTCCAACAAACGGCGCAGCAGAAAGCTCCGTCAGCTGCTGTTCAGAAGGCGAACGCTGTGAATGCTCAGTTCAAATCTTCTGCTCAACGGCCAAGGCTTCAAAAGGCAACGGTAAATATGACCAGTCAACTGATGATTTTCTGTTTCACTTTAATATTTGTTTCGAAGTTTATATTGCACTAGTTTTTGCTAATATTAATTTGTAAAAATTTTTTGATGCTCAGAGTTTTTTATGTTTATCTTTATATTGCCCAAAATTATCAGTCATAAGCTGCATATTTATAAATATTTCTTCAGGCCGAGTCCGGTGATGTTGAGGTAACGGAGACCATTGTTTTGCCGTCCAAAAATTCTGCCGAAAGACTGGATTATACCCGAAAATGGCTTCAAGATGATATCAAAACATGGGTGGACAAGCCGGGAAGTGGCCCTCTTAATAATCAGGTACGGTGCTTTGATTTGAGATATCAATTGTTTGGTTGCCTTATATTTTCTTGTAAACAAAAGTCATTGAATTTCTTTTTTGTTTGCACAAATTTGTATAGCTCCTTTCTGACATTTTCTGCACAAAAAACTGGGCCATGAATTAGCCGGTCATCTTTCGGCTTGACCATTAATCCCCTCAGGCACTAATTCAACAATCTTTAGATCCGCCGAGTGGGCAGCAGCGGCGAGTCGGACGAGGAACACTCGCTGGGCAGTTGTTCGGCCGAAGTGGCCGCAATCAACGCGGCCAAGCGAGAGAAACGCGACAAACAAGCGGCCAAGGACAAGAAGACAAAGAAGTAGGTATTTGACATATTTTGATATATAGGAAGTGGTGTTATTCGGAAAGTGGAAAAGACAAAAATTTATATTAATCATCATTTTTGGAGGTGTCAAGGAGAATATTAGATATTTTAAGCGGAACAAAAATGCTTTTAGTAGAATCTATGCTTCCATTAAGTAGTTGAGAGTCTCTAAATCATGTTTTGAAAGTATCAAGCATACTGTAACATCAAATTCATTTTCTAGCGAACCCGTTTCCCAGCCTCCTCCACCTCCAGTCCAAGTCCAACAACCCATCCATAACGGCGCTCCAATCAAGCCCCGTCCCTATCGGCCCAATGAACAGGGTGCTCCGGGCTTTGTCATCACCGAGTCCTACGATCTCCAGAAGGTTAATTCCCATGGAAACATCCGCCCGTCGACCAGCGACAGTGTTGATCGGGCGGCCTCAAGTCATGAATACAGTGGGGGAAGTCAGAACTCGCATGATGGGAAGCCGGCCTACAACTCGCTCCAACGAACCGCCTCAGGGGCTTTTGTCCAATTCCAGAGAGGATCCATCCAGAGTTTGCCTGACGCCATTTATGGACCCACAAGAACACCCCAACCGTATCCCCCATCGAACACGAGTGGGTATGGGTCGACTTCGAGTCAACAATATCTTCATCCTCCAGACCCAGTACATCAAATGAACGCGTTGGTCGCGGAATTGGAGCTCAATACAGATCCGGTAAGTCCTCTTCTTTGAAATTCTGACTGATCAGGGAAATAGGGATGATTTTATTGAATTTCAATAAAAAATTGAATTTTTCAGAACTTTGAGAAGCGCCGATCCTTCCCCACGATCCAAGTTGATCCGCAGAAGTCGCCGCGACAACGACCAATCGCCAATACCACAGTAAAAGTCCAGAATCCCCTCCCGGACCCCCATTCCCGCCTGAATGTCCCGCAAAATACGAATTACTCGGGCTCCATGGATCGAGGCATGCGTCGATATGAACAGGAAAAGGATCCGCTCCAGACCAGTGTTCAACGCCCAGCCGCTCAATCCTCAACGCTGGCGCAGAAATTGGCCCCGAAACAGAAATTGGAAGACGCGACCTCACTGTTGGACTCGGTGATTGGGGAATTACATCCTCTGGATGGCCCCAAACGACCAAAAGCCACTGATCAGTACTATAATCAGAACAATAATGTGTCTCAGCCCAGCTGGCAACAACAAATGATGATGAAAAAGCAGCAAAGAATGGCTCAGAGTCAGGTGCAACATCAGAATAACCAGATTGGCGGAGTCCACGTGCATCAACATCAACCCGGTCATGTTCATATCCCACAAATGGGCATTCGAAACGAACATCAACCCAACCATTTCCAGACCATCAACGAAGAGAAATTGAACCCGTCCAAGGTGGAGAAGATCCATAATTTATTTGAACAGACCAGAGGCCCGAGGTCAGTCCAACGACAGGGAAGCCGGGAACATCCACCAGAGCCAGTTTACAGTGAGATCAGCGAGTTTCGACATGAGGTATTGGGTGATTTGTATTATTTTGGACTTAATCTATATTGTTTTAGACTCTGCAAGATGTAATATTATCAATAATCTTTTCAGCGTTCCTCAAGTCTAAAAACGAACACCCTTGGACGTCTGAACCCTTCCCAAGTCGACCGACCATCCCTTCCATCAACCCAACCACCAAATCAGCCCAGAGGATACTTGTCGCCCACTCAAAAGACCCCTCAAGTCCAACGTCAAGGCAGTCTTCGGCGGCCTCCTCCTCAGCCCTTTGACCGTGTCTCCCTCAACAGCCAGAACATCGAGGAGGAAGAGAACTTTTACGATAACATCCGGACCCATCGACAAGACGATGAGCAGAGTGTGACGAGCCGTCGAACCATCGGCGCTCCCTATTTGGCCTCCAGATCTCCGCAGCCCCAGGCAACGCAAAAGAACGCTCAAGGAGGACGGATTGGACATCTGATTAGGAAGTTGGGGGGAGTACCCGAGAGACCAATCGTCCATCAAACCTCGGTTCATGAAGGGTCGGTCATGTCGTTGAACAGGGTTGGGCAAGAGCAGAGTCATCAACCACAGAGACCGGGCGTGTTGATGAAGAGCAATTCGTTGAGTGGAGAACCGTGGAGAATACATGCCATTGATAAAGAAGGTAAGAAAGGCTTGGTAGAAGATTTGGTGGAGAAATGAGCAAGAAAGTGGATTTTTTGGAGATCAAAAGGGGGCTTTATGGGTAATCTATGGATATATGTACCAGTTAAGAAGTTTATGTTGGGGTAATGGTTTTGGTGTAATCTTGAGCCTTATTTTAGACATTCGTTGTATTTTACTCCAACAAATTTTGAATTTTTGATGATAAAGTACGAGTATGCTACCAATAAGCTAATGAGACGATGTACAATACATACGAATTTGTACAGTAAAACTGGTTTGGCCTTTTTTAGTCATTAATATTACACCAGGTGACATTCATCAAAAAAAAACTAATGTAAATTTTGATGTTTAATTAGTACAAAGCCTTCTTACAGACTCGAGCCTTGACCAGAAGACGAGTGGTATCGGGAACCGCCTGAAACAAACCTTATTTGGAAGCAGGAAATGGCTGAACAACTGATCTGATCCCCCTATAGTAATATATAGCCCCAGAACTTTCTCTCATGTACACAAATTTGGGTCCATTTATCGAATATCGAGCCTTTATTTATGTGCCTTCGCTACGAGTTTCCTCTTGTTGCAGTAATCCGTTGTTTTTGGCAGGTATTTTATGTTCTCGAGTACCTTCTTCTAGTCCTCTTCTAAAGATATTCGACTCGTATTTTATGCAGATTTCTATATTTTATCATATTTACCTCGACAAATAAATGTTATCGAAGGGAGCTGAGGGTTGGAAATACGGGAATTTGTGATGGTTGACGTGTTTTACAATAAAAATGGAGGGTTGTTGACTGAAAATCCAAAAAAGCTACGAAAAGGTTGTCGATAAAATTTTACATATCGGTTCTAAATAGGCCATACATCATTCGCCTGGAAATTTGGCTCTGATTTTCTAGTCACTAACCTGCTTCGCAAGAGATCATACAAAATTCGGAGGGCGGCCAGAGAATAAAACCTTTGGTTTTACTATGCGAATTTCGGACTTATTGTTGACATATTGCATGCCATGTTAGTTGCTGAGGCTGAACGTGGTCGTTTGGAAAAACATTGTTCGTTTTAAAAAATTTTAAAAACAATAATAAGGTAAATTCTACAAATAAGTCGTATCCCAATACTGCGCCTACTCTTTGCCGTGTTTTCGGCGGGTCTCCGCAAGTAACTTTGAAAAGTCATTGATGGGATTCGGTCTCACAAGAGCTACAAAAATTCCGAAATCCAAGTTCAAATTTAAGTTTGGCCTCTCAATAATTCAAGTCCAAGTTCATTAGCATAAAAAATTTCGGGTTCAAATTCGGTAAATCTCATCGGCCAAGTTCAAAATCAAGTTCGGTAGACCGGAAAATTATTTTTTTGGCTTGAAAAGCAAAATTCCATTGTTAAAGAACGTTTGTATGCCAAGACATAGGCAACCTACGCTTTCACAGAAAGAAGTTGCTGTAAAACAACCCTCATTCTTTTTATTGCGCAGAACTTCATAAGCCTAACGAGCTTAAAATTGCCAAATTTTTAAGTTCAAAGTCTCCTGAACCTCCCTACATTACTATATCGTTTTTAGAGGTAAAGCTCAATTTCCGTACCCTTATTGTCACATTTGTTCCATCCTAAGGATTCCCCCTTACACATCTCTAATAAATACCCAGCCATTTTCTTTCAAAGTAAACTTTTACACCTCAAAAATATACTTTAAATTCAAAGATTTAACACTTTTTCGGTAATTGAAAGTGTGTTCCTTTGGCCTCGAGAGTAACCCTATCCGAATATACCGAGCTCCAAAGCTGACTGCATAACACATTGAATGGCACATGGCCATAAGTAAACATGTTTCCGGACCTCCCACTCTGTCATCCCTTTTATATTATACTAGGAATTTTGAATAAAAAAATGGCTGCCCTTTACGCGGAGGTGCTGAATATTGCAAAAAGTGCATTGTAAGCATAAGCTGACTACATTTGTTGTATCTTAAGCTAAGGCTTACCCGAATCCGAGACATGTCTCGGACTCCTTCACATTAAAGATGGTGAATTTTATATGAAACTGGCGGAATACCGTAGCGTTTCTTGTGTTTTTGACTTGTGACTGCTATATAAATGGTTAATGAGGCTGAAATGTCACGACAGTGTCTACTGCTCATGAGAAAGACCTGGAAATTCCCTGTAATTTGCCATTTTCTCCTGGATTCCTCGAATTTTCTCTTTTTCTCTGCCCGTCTCTCATTTGTCGCACTCTATCGTCCCGAAATAAAACATTATCGATAAAAACAGCTGGTCTTTCTGGCTTTTATCAGACACTCTCTAAACATTTCCTAGGACGCTTGGTGCGTCCTTTTGCCTGAGGGCATGCAGTTTTTAGAAAACGAAAAAAAGAGAAAAAGTCGAATTTAAGTGAAAAAATGAGAAAAACTGGGAGAAATGGGGAGAAAGGGAGCGCCGGAGGGCATGGTGTGTATATATATTTGTGTCCAAGGATTTGTAGCCTAGAGAAGCTGCAAACACAAAAATTAGGCCGTAAAACAGCTGAAAAGTTGGCAAATTTTACAAGTTTTAGGGAAAAATTTTTGGATTTTTAAAGCAAAAAAAATCCTGAAACTCCGTCAGCCTTGTGCCATAAATAACATTTAAAATCCAGAAACATGTCTGATAAATATTTACAACTCGATCCATCTATGTGCCATTATATATAAAAAAAGCCATTTTTAAAATCTGAGATTTTTAGGCGCTTAAGGCAGCCACAATGACACATTTTCCGGAATTTCTCATATCTCTTTCTGAAACGAGAGTGCGTCCCATTTATCCCCAAACCACTCCGGCTTCAAGCCTCGAACGTTTTCTTTTTGTTTTTTCCACGCCCTCAGGCAAAGCGGGCGCCCGAGTGCGCACTGTCCCCGAGGTTTTCCGTGGCTTTCTTTTCTCTTTTTCACGCGATTATTTTCTAAAAAAAGCGTTGGCCTCGAGGCTAGAGCCCCTGCTCGAGAGGAAACACACGGTTATGAAAGGGAGAACCAAGAGTTTTAGGATTTTTGAGTCGAAAAAAAACTATGTTTTGGTCTGTAAATTGCAAAAATAAGGTTTGAATACATACGCTATAGACTCTCTTCCGCATTGTACAACATTTTTAATACATTTGCTGTATTTTTCTATCCGATTTGCCCGTCATATATCGAATTCTCCCCCAAAAAATTGAAAGCTTTGCGTGATTCTGTTTCCCCACCAAAAAGTCCCGTTTTAGTAACCGTAGAATCGACTTTAAATGTTGTAGTTCGATTCATTACTCATTATTCTCTGTATTCCAAGTATCTTACCACACTCTTCACTTCTATTTAAGTTTAAAAACAGCTTTTGAATTCAAAAGTGCAGTTAATTTGAGCGAACAAAAATAAATTACTCGATTTTTGCACTTTTTTGCGCAATTGCATGGATTTTTTTTATTTACCGTTGTGAAGAGGATACGTAGTAGATGTAAATATTGTGTTTTGTTACTTACTTTTCGTAGATGAACTTTGAAATTGCTTTTTTTCGAATGTTTATCAAAAATTTGGGGGTTACTGAGAAAATAGCGGATATTTTTAAAAAAAATTGTCATGATGACATATTTAATTTACAAAATAAGATACTAAATGGTATTGTAGACACTGTCTAATACCACAGTCGTTTCCTCAAGGGCTTTTAAGTCAAAAAATTTATATTTTATCTAAAGGTTTCGACGAAAAATCATCATTTTTTTGGAATGAAACTATGTAAAATTATTACTTTAAAATAATTCGGCAAAACATCTGCCTTGTATTTTAGCCCAAAACGTTACCTTATTTATTTTTGCAGGTCGTCTCCAGGCAGTGCAACCCCGTACTTTGGCCTTCCTTTATACCCTTTTAGTCTCGTTTTCCTCCGCCATTTTGTTTTACTGCTACTGTTTAAGCCGTTTAACTTCCTCTATCAAATTATTCCGCAGTTTTCTCGCATGTTTGGGTGTGTTGTTGATGTTTGACTTGTAATCGAATTTAGTTTTTTTGTAATTGAAATAGGTCGAGTCACTTTTTTGGAGTAAAATAAAGAAAGAGATGCCGGTGAGAGCCCGGATTCTGATTTTTCTGGGGTTGGTTTTTAAATGCATAAGGAGGAATTCAGTCCTGTCAAAAAATCTTCAGTCAGTTCGGAGAGATTTTGGCCTTTTTGGATAAGAAAAGGGGATTGCTAGGCCTGGGATCATCGTATCTCCATCAAATTTTGTATTTACCTTTAGTCATCAATGAGGTCTAGTACAATAACAGCTTTTAAGCCTGCTTTCAGAGTACGTCAAGTTTATTGGACTTGTAAAATACGACCTTTTAAGCGAAATCTCAGACCGTGTCAAATTTTCAAGCCCCTCCTTCCTACCTCAAAAACATTTCCACATGTGTCTTCTACTTATAAATTCAACTGTCAAGAAGTGAATTCCACTTTTTTGTAATCAGCCTGTTTCCCATTTTTTTTTAAATTTATAAATTCACATTTCCATGCACCAGGCCCTAAAGCGTGAACAAATTCCAGGGACACTTTTATTCCCCTCCAACTTTGTTTGCATTAAAAAGCGGGGGATAGTCTAGTTTTATTTTTTTTATAAATTCTTGAGTCTTAAAACTTGATCTTTATTTGATTTATGGCGACAGGTTACTTACTTTCACTGTTTTTACTGTTTAAACATTTGATCTGCGGTTTTGGGAACCTAGAGTAGTAGCAGTATCATTTCGAAGGTTCAGTGTTCCGTCTTTTTAGAACTTATTTGATGCACTTCCGGATCAAGGTTATTGGATTTGCAATTTATTGTTGTTAGATAGTAATGTAACGCATTTTAATAGGATTTTTTTGCATTTATGGGGACTTTACTGCTTATTAAATCCGATAATGTAATTTATTTGATTAATTCTGCGGTTTAGCGGCAAAAGTGACATTTTTATACGATCAAAGGTGTTTGATTACTTCTTTTTTTGCATTTATTTAATTTACCAATAGCTAACAGGATTTTATTCAATACATCAGATAAGAGTTTTTAATAGGCGACATTTTATGCGATTTTTTTTTCCCAAATAGTCTCAAAAATTTGCCCGTTTTATCCCTATAATTTTCTCTATTTATTTATTCTGTCTTTGAAGTTTTGTGTTTTATGAGTTGTGCCCGGCAAATTGAACATCCAACCCATTATTAAACTAAATTTTTTTCCTTTGCTGATTTTAAAAACCAAGTTCCGAACGAGACGTTTCTTCCGATTGATAAAAAATTTCGGAATATCGATTATGCGGGGATAGGCCGCTCGAATTTTATACCTTCGAGCGTCCTTTTTATTGTCTCAGGATGGAATTGATAAAGGAATTGGAGCGGCAGAAATCGGGGTTTGATATTTGAATCGATTTCTTTCTTGTGACTTTTCGGATGGGAAATGGAGGGAACTTAGGGTGGTTATAACTAGTTAGGGGGTTGTAGTTTTGTG